TTTATCTTTGCCAAATGTTGTAACGGCCGTAGCGCCCCCCAATTGTAATGAACTTGACTATCAATTGAAAAAAAAAATTTGCCGTCCTTTTCGGCTTTGAATCCCTTGTATGCTTGTTTGCTTTTTGTCATTTGTTGAAATTTTTTCTAAGTGTCAGCTAGAGAGCACCAAATGATAGAGTATATCTAGAGAGAAGTGAGAGCTAGAGAGAGAAGTGCAATAATATGCCTCAATAGAATGATTTGGTAACCCCTATAACTACTCCCAAGGGGAGTATTTATAGAGAAAATTAGGGTTGGGCTCCCAAGCCTTGGGCTTGGGAGGCCCATTTACAACTGGACCGCTACTGGGCCGAATACAAAGCCACTAATGGGCTGTACAAATGAGTAAGTATAAAATCCGATTCTGTGAGATCTTCGTGGCCGACGAGGGCGTGGCCGACGAGGGCACAGCCGATGAGGGCACGGCCGACGAGGGCACCCGGGTTCCTTGGACTCAGGACCATAATCCGAGTTGGCCCCTTTTCGGCCGACGGGGGCGTCTTGGCCGACGAGGGCGCCACTCTGTTGTCTTGTGCTTTCTGTTCTTCCGAGTATGTGGGTTCGGGGACTCAGACCCATATACTCCATCAAGAATCATTCCCTTCACCGGTAAGCTTACAGGTACTCACCATGGGTGTTTTCACACCCTTGGAATCAACCATTCCAACTTTGTGAAGAAGATCTCTGATGTACTTGGTTTGGGAAAGATGCAAACAACCATTAGGTAATTTCCTGACTTGGATGCCCAGAAAGAAATCTATGTCCCCCAGATGTTTGAGAGAGAAAGAAGAATGTAAGGCTTGAATGATTTGTTGTATGACAGTGGAGTTATTGCCAATGACCAGAATATCATCAACATAGATTAGGATGTAGATTTGGATTCCAGTCTTGAGGTAGATAAGAAGAGAAGGATCACTTTTGCTTTGTTTGAAACCAGCATTATACAGAACTGAAGTGAGCTTGTGAAACCAAGCTCTTGGACCTTGTTTTAGACCATATAAGGATTTATGGAGTCTGCAAACAAGGGAGGTGTCCTTAGCTTGAAAACCAGGGGTTGAGACATGTAGACCTCCTCCTCAAGGTCCCCATTTAGGAAAGCATTGTTGATATCAAGTTGTTGTATAGACCATTGATGAGAGACAGCCAATGTGAGAAGAATTCTGATAGTGACAGGTTTAACTACTGGAGAAAAAGTTTCTCCAAAGTCAAAACCAAACCTTTGATGAAAACCTTTGGCAACTAACCTTGCTTTGAACTTATTCACAGAACCATCAGGATTTTCTTTGACTCTGAATACCCATTTGCAACCAATAACCTGCTTGCCTGGAGGAAGAGACACTAAAGTCCAAGTATTGTTAGCAATCAGGGCATTGTATTCAGATTTCATTGCTGCAAGCCAAGGTGGAGAAGAGAGAGCTTGCTTCACTGATTTAGGCTCTATATGAGCTAACAGTAAGGTGGGATTAAGTCTAGGTTTTACAATCCCAGATTTGGATCTGGTTTGCATGGGATGATTGTTGTGAGGAGGACTTGGAGGTGGAGGAGGATTAGAATCTGATGATGAGGAGTGAGAGTGGGCAGTGTTATCATTAAATGAATTAGAAGGAGTTGACTCAGATTGGGAGGATTGTTGATGAGGAATTTGATGATCAGTGTTAAACTGAGATGGAGTGGATGAAGATGTAGGAGTAGATGAAGGACTAGAAGAAGAATTTGAACTGTTGGAATTGGATGTAGGAGTGGCACCATTGTCAGAGTGGAATGAAGATGAATGAGAAGGAGAGTGAATTGCTATTGGGGCTGATAAGGAAACTGGGACACTTGAAGATAAACTGGATGGGGATTGAAAAAGAGTAGTGTAAGGAAATTTGGTTTCATCAAATATAACATCCCTGGAAAGATAAATTCTGCCACAGGGAGAGAGACATTTATAGCCTTTGTGATGAGAAGAGTATCCCAGAAAAACACATTCCTTGGAATGGTAATCCATTTTATGTTTATTGTAAGGCCTAATGAAAGGATAGCAGGAGCAACCAAAAACTTTGAGAAAGGTATACTCAGGAATAGTACCATAAAGTTTGAAATGTGGGCTGAGATTTGCAATAGATTTTGATGGAAGTTTGTTGATAAGATGTACAACAGTGGCAAAGGCAGTGTCCCAGAATTTGAAAGGCAAAGAAGAATGTGCAAGGAGACATAGACCTTTCTCAACAATGGTGCGATGTTTCCTTTCAACAACACCATTTTGATGGTGTGTATGAGGACAAATAACTCTATGATTAATACCTTTTTCAGTGAGAAACTTTGTGAACGATCTGAATTCTCCTCCCCAATCAGATTGGATTGACTTAATGGAGATGTTAAACTGATTTCGGATGTATTGATGGAAGTTTTGAAAGGCTAAGAATGCATCTGATTTCTTTTTGAGAAAGTAGATCCAGGTATATTTGGTGAATGCATCAATGAAGGATATATAGTAAGTATAGCCATCAAAGGACTGAATAGGAGCTGGCCCCCATAAGTCAGTATAAATCAGTTCAAAAGGAGAATGAAAAACAGTTGTAGATGGGTAAGAGGGTAGTCTGTGAGCTTTACCCAAACAACATGCAGAACAAAAGTCAATAGCATTTTTATTGATATATGGAATATTACATAGATTCAGTACAGACTTAAGGGCCTCAAAATGAGGATGACCTAGCCTTAAATGCCAAATATTACAACTGGAGGTTGACTGAGAGTTATTAAGAGTAGATACAAGAGAACTAGGGAACACATATGTATGGGGATGAAACTTGGATAGATTTGAAGTAGAGTTGTGAGACCCAAGAGCTGGAAAGGATTGAAACTTGTAAAGACCATCTTCACCAAGTATTCCATACAACAGAACCTGTTTAGAAACCTGGGATTTAACAAAACATTCATGAGGATGAAATTCAAAAAATGCATTGTTATCCTTGGCAAATTGGCTGACACTTAATAGATTTTTGGTAATAGCAGGAACATGTAAGATGTTGTTGAGAGATAAAGAAAGAGATGATTGATAAGGTGAGGGAAAGGATGAAAAACCAATAGACTTAATTTCAAAACCTTGACCATTGCCCATAAATAGCTTATCAGTGGTAGCAATTGGCTCACTGTGTTGGAGATTGAGGGGATTAGCAGTAACATGGTGTGTAGCTCCAGAGTCTGGGAACCAGTTCTGAGAATTTGGGGGTGGTCCTAGACTCCTAGTATAGAAGAGTTTGCACAAGCCCAGGCTGCAGTTGGCACAGTAAGGGATGAATTGAGTTGTGAGAGATGATTACTTTGCTGTGGATAGGGATAAGGTGGTTGGTTGGGTGAGTATCTTGCTATATTTGGAGGAAGCAGTTGGTATTGATTTGAGTAGAGATGTGAAGGTGGTTGTTGGTATTGATTTGGTTCGTATTGATGCTGGTGAAATTGATTTGAGTGAGAATATGAAGATGGAGGTTGTTGCATAGGACGAGAAAGCTGTTGTTGCATATGAAAAGGATTGGTAACAGTATAGGCTGGATTGTATCTGTGGTAACAAACGAGTGCACTGTGACCATTTTTCCCACAAACTTGACAAGTAACTGAGCTTCTACCACCTGAACGACCACCTCTGCCCCTATTGAAACCTCCACGACCTCTACCTCTGTAGGAGGAGTTGATATTAGAGGTGTCAAACTTAGCAGAAGTATCAAACTGAGCAACTTGAGCTGAAGCATTTTCTGAATTGTCCTGAGCTTCGGTTTCAGTATTTTGAGAGGAAGATTGAAGTCGAGCAACATTAGCAGCAAATATTGTTTGTTGCGAGGACTCAAGAAGTTTCTTCAGTCGCAATTCTTTTGCTAGCAGAAGACCTTCAAGTTCAGATAAGGTAACAGGATCTAAGATACTTCGCGAGGACACAGATGATATAAGTGACTCGTAATCCTCAGGAAGACCTTCAAGGATCACATTGATGTGATCCTTGGTTGATATAGGCTCGCCGACAGAAGTTAGGTTATCAACAATCGTTTCAATACGAAGCAAGTATTCAGAAATAGAACGATCACCTTTCCCGGTGTTATACAGTTCCGATTTCAGTTGACGAGCTCGCGCGATGATACTGGAGCGGAAGAAATTCTGAATTTCACTCCATAGCTCATGCGAATGCTTGCAGCAGATGACGCGAGCATGAAGTGATTCTGAAAGCGAAGCTAAGAGCCACGAAAACAGCATTTGATCTTGTTGCTCCCAGGTGTTGTATGCTTCGTTAGCTGTTTTCGCTCCATTTTCATCAACTGAAAAACGATCTGGTATCTGAGGACTTTCTATGAATTTGAGAAGTTTATGAGCTCGGATCACTGATTCAACATGATGGCGCCAAAACAGAAAATTGTTTGAATCGAGTTTAATAGGTAGAGGATGATGAAAAATAATAGGCGAAGATTGATTAGCAATGTGAGAAGATGATTGCGAAGAAGAAGAGGAATCAGACGCAGAGTTCGTCATGGTTAGATCGAGCAATGCTCTGATACCATAATAGAAATGAAGCAAGGTAGAAGCAGAAATGAAATCATCTTCCTTAGAATCAGATATTACAGAGTATTTATACAGGAAGTAGTCATAGCTAACATAACCGAAGCCTAACAGAAAGCAGTTACATTGCTTTACAAAGAAATACACGTGTAGTTTTCCTACACTATTCCTAACACCTTTTAATAGCTTCCATTTTGTTTTTGGACGTAACATATTATATGGCATATATGCTGTTGCAAAGCTGGAAAATGTCAGACTTTATTTACATAATTCTGCCATGTTTTAAAATGTTTTAGAGTATTTTGTTGTTGTTGTTGTTGTTGGTAATCTAGCACATAGATTTCATTCTTCTGGCTTTATTTCTCAACTTGTCGCTGAATACATTCATTTTTAGTTCTTTTGGTATATAATTGCTGCTGCAATCTATTGCAGGTGCAAAATGCTATTGACTTTTTGAAGATGATTGGGGCATTAGATGAACATGAAAATCTTACGCATCTCGGTATTACATTATCAATGGTGTTGAGTTAACATTTGAAGTGTAGAAGTATAGATATGTAACCCTATGATTTCACAATCTTATTGGGTCCAAGTCCAATTTTCTCTACTGAAATACTGTTATAGTCTTAAGGAATTGATGAATGTGATTTTGTAAGTTAAGAAAGTTATACACCCTCTGTTTTAACTCATTGTTCAAGTAGTGTTTTCACAGATTTTAAGATAGAAAACAGTAGGGTTGTGAATAGTACAAGAGAGGATGAAAAAGTAAGAGAAAATGAAACTTAAGGGTATTTATGCAAAAGTAAGCGTATAAGGTAAAACTTGCCAAATTAGGATATTGAGTAATTAATAAAAACTTCCCAAAAAAATGAAAAACTTAAGCAGTATAACAACTATTATTTTATTTAACACAGTATTGGAGCTGTATTCTTAAAATATGCTACAAAAACCCAGTTCTTTGTTGTCCTTCATCATGAACAGTAACACACAAACTCCCCCTTCCTTTGAAGCATCCCCAACCATTTCTTGACATAACCAAACCAAACCGGGAATCGAAAAACTTCGGCATCCATCATCGAATATTCAAATGTGCACCACCTTTGTACGAGCTCCGGCCCCACACCTCTGGTGCCAACTCTTGGAGGCTGATTCTCAGCATCTTTCTGCAAAAATGCCGTGCTCTGTTTGTTTGCTTGCGCTGACCCTCATATCAAGTTTCATCGGGTGTGGAATTTGGGCCTGGTATCTTGTGCTACTAACTCAGGAAAAGAATAAGTATTTCTTCTCATCAAAGATGATTAAAAAAGAGAAAATAGAGAAGAAAAAGAATAGGTATTCTTGATCGAAGTTATTGAGTTAAACCAATTTAATTTGAAGTATCGCTTTGAGTTCTGCAGAGTTCATCAGAGCTCAATAGATTTCAGTAAAGTATATCTCAGTAGTCAGTAGGGATTGGTCATAAAGTAAAGTACAGTGAAATCAAGTAAAGTTCAAGTGGAAGATGCTTCTGCGAGCACCAGAAGTCAAATTCATGTTAGAGACAAATTTCAAGTTGTTTTGTCATGTTCAAGTTTAAGGTTGAGATCAAATATCAAGTTTTCCAGTCAAATTTAAGTCGAAGTGAAATTTATGTTTCAAGTTTCACAAGCTTGAAGCATTTTCACCTGCTTAAGCTTGATTATGTGTTCAAATATAGAAATGTAAAATATAGACACATAGAAATTTTAAAACAGTAGGTTTAAAAAACCCAGGGTTTCATGTTCCTTTTGGGTTTAGGTCCACTATTTTTCTATAGAAACATTGGAAGTGTTTAGATATTATGAAGTTTTAAGTTAAAAGTCATATCAATAAAAGTAGTTTTGTTATCTAGCGCATGAATTATACTACATTATTTTTTCACATTTGCTCAAGCATATACTGATTCATATTTCCAATCAGGTAAATATTTGTCAGTGCTTCCAGTCGATCCTAAGCTCGGAAAAATGCTAGTTATGGGTGCTATTTTCTGTTGCTTCGACCCCATATTGACCATTGTTGCTGGCCTCAGCGTGAGGGATCCTTTTCTGTTGCCTCAGGATAAGAAGGACGTAAGTCTACCGCTTTATGTTATACAATTAGACGAGCAATAATAATCATTTATTGCTTTTGTTTTCTTGTTTGTAAAGTTATAAATCCTCAGCTAATATTTATGCATCTACAGGATCCAAGTTGACTATTTTATTATTATTATATACGATTTTCTCCTATGATGCAGTTAGCTGGGACAGCAAAGTCTAGGTTCTCAGCAAAGGACTATAGTGATCACATGGCTCTTGTCCGTGCTTATGAAGGATGGAAAGATGCTGAAAGAGAAGGATCTGCATATGAATATTGCTGGAGAAACTTCCTTTCTGCTCAAACACTTCAAGCCATTCATTCCCTTCGCAAGCAGTTTTCCTTCATCCTGAAAGATGCCAGACTGCTTGAAGAAGAAACTGCAGCTAATAATAAGCTAAGTCACAACCAATCATTAGTCCGTGCTGTCATATGCTCTGGTTTATATCCTGGAATTGCTTCTGTAGTTGTAAGGCATTCTCTACTCTGACATGTTTTTGGTACTCTTATTCCTTAATTTAATCGAAAATGAGTTTCATTTCCTGTCCATATGCAGCACAGAGAGACGTCAATGTCTTTCAAGACAATGGATGATGGTCAAGTTTTACTTTATGCTGTAAGTACAAGGTTTTGCGGTTTAATATACTACATGCTTCACAAACCTATGTGATTATGCATCGTAACAACTATAACTTGTAGACCTTTTTTACTTAATTAATGAAATGAGGAGTTTGCCCAGTTCCTACTCCATAATCTAGTGTCAAACATGTGAAAACCTTGATTGTTTGATTGCAATAGTCTTGGATAAATAACCTTCACTGAATCTGAATACAAGTACAAAATATCATAGATTGTTATTTGACCTATTATCGATTTTTCTCTCTCGCATTTGATCAAGTTTTCCATGCCGATCCCAAACTTGATTGGGACTAAGGCTTGGATGTTGTTGCATTCAAGTTTTCCATCCATGATATTAACATTTTCCCATTGTTTATATTATTTAATCCAGAACATGTGCTCCATTGATAAGATATTCTCTGTCTCTTTTAGTAAATTATAATGAGTTGAAATGTGTGCTTCGTGGCACAGAACCACCGTTAGCTAATTGCTAGTAGATGTTAAAATATAATTTGAGTCTGATTTTAACAGTTGGACTGACTTGACTGATTAGAGAAAGATCATTACAAGAGCCTATTATTTATTATTTATAGTCTATGAGATACCTAGAGGCCGAATATATATATTTATTTTAATAAATATAATACAGTATGTGGAAATCTTTGCCAGCCAACCTGTGTTTGTCTCAATGATCCAACTGTAAGAAGCCAAAGCTGTTAGCCTGTTGGAAATGTGGAGCGTTCTTTACACAGTGGCTCAGTGAGTACATGAGCAAATGTTTATTTTCAACCGTCTATTTTATTTATAGTCAACTATAATAATAATATTAATATTAATAATAATAATAATAAACCTGTGACATTATTGTAAAAATGAAATACATAATTTACGATTAGCATTTAGCAGTACTGTTGCTGAATAACTGCTCCGTGTGTGGCATCCTTACTATTTTTAAAAGTTGTATCTCGTGTTTAGCAAAGTATAGCCAGAAATTAGTTTAATCAATTTTCTAACATACTACAATATGACCCAGTTTCCTATCCATTTTCAACTTCCCACATTAAAATATTTACTACAGGCCTACACTTCAGTTGCACGAGAATAAAATGGTTTTGTTGATTAGTCAAGGTCTCAAGGAAGACCAATATTCACAGATTTAAGAGTTTCATCTTTTAGCACCACATCCCAATGATGTTCTTACTTCTTAAGTATATCTTTCATTTTGAGCTCTATACGTTGTTCCAAAAAAGTTTCTATCAAGTTAGATGTTTCATATTCAATATTTTTATTTCAGAACTCTGTGAATGCACGCTATCAAACAATTCCATACCCATGGTTAGTGTTTGGTGAAAAGGTGAAGGTCAATACTGTCTTCATACGCGATTCTACTGGAGTGTCTGATTCTATATTGATCCTTTTTGGGGGTAATCTTAACTTTGGCACTACGGTACTACTTTCCCGACTGTAAACATGATTTTTCATTTGATAATTAATGAAGGTAAATAGGTAATGCATTGCTAATGGACTGTATATTTTCCTATTAAATGTGATTCCTCTCATAGGCTGGTCACTTGAAAATGTTGGATGGTTATCTAGAATTCTTCATGGATCCCAGCTTGGCTGCATGTTACATGAACCTCAAAGAGCAGCTTGATGAGCTTTTGCAAAAGAAGGTATTGCTATGAAACATGTTTTCTTTGGTAAGCGAGGTGGAGTAAAGTTAAATGTATAGATAACACAACTAAAAAACTGGTAAGTAGGGTCTCAAACCACAGGGAAGTTGGAATTAAAATATGGTTAAAAAATACTACAGGGTCTAGTTGTATAAAGTTTGCATTGATAATTCGATATAGTGCAAATAAAACACAATAAAAGCAGATAAAAATAATTTCGGGGGGAGAAATCAGCAACGTCAAATTTGGGACATGGCTGATTGTCCAATTGTCCAATGTTTAGTAAAAGTAGGACAAACAAGAGAAGACAAACAATAAGACGAAAGAAAAGTAAGATAAAACGGATAAGATAAAGATAAATAAATATAAGATAACAATAACATAAGAACATAAGAAAGATAAAAGATAAAAGAGCATAGAAAAAGCTAGAAGATAAAAATAACACAAGAACATAAAAAGATAAAGAAGATAAACGCAAGAAAAGGAGAGAGGAAAGATAGAAAAGAGATCAATCGTCCACACGGATAGGGCTGGTTGTCCAATTGTCTAATGTTTAGTAAAAGTAGGATTACATGTAAATCATATGGCTATAAGAGCTGCATAGATGTATTTAGGACCCATCACAAAAATAGGTTAGTACTCCAATGGTCCCTCTACTATAACAATGCCGTGACAGTAATTGGTAGTTGGTTGTATCTATAGAAGGAAAGGCCTAATTGTGTTGTGATGTATGTGTATTTAGTCATCTTTTTATTTATAAAAGTTGGAGTTGGGTGGCATTCACATTAGATTCACTTATTCTAATTTCCATTTGTTAAGTGTCCGACATCTGATACTCTATTATATTTAATACGGAGTATATTAGTGTGTGGTCTATGTCACCTTTAGATGGATCCTTTTGCGGCTAGTTGGCCCTAATTTAAAATCATATCAGAGTTTGACACGATTGAGGTTTGTTTATTTGTTTGATTAGCAACCATGGTTTGGAGTAGCCAGTTTTGGTGACCCGCTTATTTACCCTCAAGCTGTTTAGTCTGATTTTGGTTGAGAGGGTGGCGTATTACGTGTCACATATTGGATATTTTCACGATCTATATCCAGTATGTAGTGTGAGACAAACCTCAATTCTAAAGATCTTTTCGGGATGAGTTAGTTCTGATTAAATACCATGGATTTCAAACAATGCAGCTTGAGGATCCAGACAAGGACATGCACAAGGAAGGTAGATACCTCATGCTTGCTGTTCAGGAACTGGTATCAAGTGATCAATGTGAAGGACGGTTTGTTTTTGGCCGGGAGAGCAAGAAGCCCAAGGAGTCCAGTAATGATGACAGGTTTACAAGGGATGGGACAAACCCCAAAAGCTTATTGCAAACTCTCCTGATGAGAGCGGGCCACCATCCTCCAAAGTATAAAACAAAGCATCTCAAGACAAATGAGTTTAGGGCACTTGTGGAGTTCAAAGGAATGCAGTTTGTGGGAAAACCAAAGAGAAACAAAGTTCTGGCTGAGAAGGATGCTGCAATTGAGGCATTGGCATGGTTAACTCACACTAATGATAAAAACGTCGAAGACAATAACTCCCCACCTGACGTTACTGACAACATGCTGAAACTTCTTTGTAAGCGACGGAGGTCAAAGAGACGCTGAGGATGACATGTCTGTTATTATCATGCAGAATGGCTGATATACCCCCAGATGCATTATACCTTGTGAGTTGTGATAACCAGTGATTGACATGGCGCTCCCAGATGTCTGACCGGTTACGAAGGCCAATCACTCGAGATGGATAGATGGATATACTTAGATCTTCATGAGTAATAGAACAGAGCTTGATGACTTTACAAGCGTTTTGATATACCTTAGGAATTATTTATTCATTTCTACAATTGTATATGAGATCTGGAATGTAGACATGTACAAGCATTTTGATATTTTCCCAGCAGTAATTGCACCTTATTCAATAGAACTCAGCTAGGCTACATTCTTTTTTTCTCTTTCATTTGGAATCACGATAATACGATATATATACGTAAAGCAACAAAAAATGTTATGTAAATATGCCCATGAGCATACCTAAGAGGCTAAGAGGGTGGACCTGGTTTTGGTTCTGTGCGGGTAAAGAACTGACCAGTGGGGGGCTGGGGGCTGTTTTTCTGGTTTCAGTCTTTCAGATCATAAGTGGTCCAATCAGTTCTGGTTCTCATTAATTGGAATCGGAACTGGATCGGGTCCACCTTGAGGCACACCACAGAGCACAGCCATGGGTCCAATAATACAAAGCACTGTCTACTAAGTACTACTCCCTCTGTCCCCCTATAATTGTCCCATTTTTCCATTTTTGGATGTCCCTTTATTATTGTCCCATACCTAGGAGTGGTCTCGGGCCTGGCCAACCGGCCCGGAACCGGACCGGCCCGCTGTTGTGCGGGCCCGGACCAGCCCGGTGAACCGGTTGGTGCCCGGTTCGGGCCATCCGGCCCGGTGAGGTAGGCCGTTCGGGCCCGGGCCTGCTAAATAGTGAACCGGCCCGGCCGGTCCGAGCCCGGTCCGGGCCAATTTATTTTTTTTTCTTTTTTTTTTTTGATTTTTTTTTAAGTTTTTGGGTTGGGCTGAGTATGATGGGTCATTTGAGGTGGTTTGGGGGAATTGGGGGGGAGGGGGGAGGGTTGGAGGTTAATTAGGAAAAGCCAAAAAAAAAAATTACATGAATCGAGGCTCGACCTGGCCCGGCCTTGACCGGACCTGGGGGTTACCCGAGCCGATTCCGGGCCTCCCCTTTCATGAACCGAGGTTCGGCCGGGCCCAGGCCCGAATCGGAACCGGTCCACCCCTACGCATACCATATTTGGTAACATTTGTGTGACTCTAATTCATTCTTATCAACTCATCACCAACCACATAATTATACTTTTCTTAAAAATCACACCACTCCCTTCCATACCAATATTAGAGGGACGGAGGGAGTAACAACAAACACACTTTGCTTTCAAGGGAAAAATCCAAACAATCACAAATCACAATTCAAATAATTCGAAAGCAGTTTACAAATAATTTACAAACATAGTTTAGATGTGAAATCCAATGTATTTTTCTATAGGAAGAACCAAAGAACCGAAGAGCATGTAGATAAATTGTAGGCAAAATGAACAATTTGATCAATCCCACACGGTACTACGGTAGGCAATAGAATTTCTTCAAACAGTATTTTGATCTTTTTGCATTTGCCTCTACAGGGCTATAATTAAACCTGAAATCGCACCAGATTCATGAATTGTTTCTGTTTCCACTTCAATCCTTATATACACAGGCAAAAGTAATAAATTTGTACACAGATTTAACATTTTTATTCCTACAAGTAAATGAAGTAATACATCGAGCACACATTTCACACTTTGGTTTGTGCAAGTGTGCAACTATTAATTACATCTTTAAATAAAAGGACTTGCTTGTTTAAAAAAATCACTTTACAATTTTTATAAAGTAGTTGAATAGAATATCATTATACATGTTACTTCGCGATTAAGCTTCAAATCCTTCCTAGTTCATACACAAGAACTTTTATATTTTTACTTTCGGTTCAATCAGGTTACTAACTTTATTTTTTGGTCTTATGCTATGTAGTTTTTTAAGTGAAATTTACAGCAATTGAGAGTTGAGACATTTCAGGAATCACATAAATTTAATGAAAAAATTTGCGCAAAGTTCTCTAAGTAATGTGAAACAATTAATGAAGACAGTGCAAATGAAAATTCCATGCAACTTTACAAAATATGAAGAAAATAAAATAAATTAAAATAAATACTACTATTCCCAGACAGTTTGGTGGTTTACAACGCAAAAGAAAAAGCCTTGAGCAAATGTTGATTACATCCATTAATGGGTAACTACAAAACCTTGGGGGGACTGGAAAAAAATCAGCCTGAAGTCAACCCCTATTTAAATTGATTGCTTCTAACCAGTTACCACATCAACTAGTCCATCTCTCTTCTCTAAGGAAATCTTCCAATATTTAGCGCAACTAGAATTCTGAGAAAATTCAATGCCTAGAGGATAATACAATGGCTTCAACTGCACAACCATGTTCAAGATATGAAGACAAAGGCTGAAGCCCTATGAAACCGTAGCAGCAACAATTGCTTCTTCACTCCCATCAGACTCAGAATCCGCTCCTGAGATCAAAGAAGTCGATTGTATTTTTCCATGCAGATCCAGCCGCATTAAAATAACTCCTCTGCAACAGGACAGAAAAATACACACACAGAATAAGTCCAGATAACATCCTTGATGAGAAGCTTATAATATTAATTACTCCTAGTGATAAATAGTCATGAAACAATGGAATGGTGATAATGATTCACAAGAACACCTAAAAAGCTAAGTTTAGGTTTAATATATGCATACCTTGCAAAGCGTGATTGAATAGATATGTCCCGAACTTTTATCCTGTTCACTGTTCCACTCTGGCTTACAAGAACTACTTGTTCATCACTTTCACCATCATCTGAAACAATGATCTAACCATTAGCAATTATTAAAGACATGTAACAATTATGTGACACAATTTCCTCCACATGAGAGCTAACTGTTGTACACATTTCCACAGTCCCAGGCCATTGAAATTTCAACAGCAATGGTCTTCGTTGTTGAATGGTATAAATCTTTTTGTCTAAGTTCCAAAAGTTTGACAACCATTCCCAGATTTCAATATATGGTGGGTCATTGTTGAATTTTGAGTACTGTACTCTGAATCCCTCAACTATCGGAAATTAGAGTGACATCTTATTTCAAGTTTCGAAGGAAGAAGACATGATTATGATGGATAATTTCTTACTAGTCAGAAGAAAGACTACTAGGGTCAATGAACATGCTTCAAAAGGTATAGAATTATAAAACACATAATGAACCACACCCAATCCAAAAAGACTAACTATGTTTTGAGATGAAGTCACCATCTATGCATAAGGGAGAAATGTGGATAACACTGGACAAGAAACTCAGAGTTCAATAGATGCCAAAGTGATCATTTTCAGTTCTATAGGAATTGCTAGGTTCCTGAGACATTAAAACAGTACTTTTAACAACTCGTTAGAGGTGTGCCCCTCAAAGCACAAGCTGAGGGAGTTGAGGCGCAGTGTAAGATTGCAAAAGTGAAGCGCTTCTTAGGATTTATATTTAAATGTTCTAAAATATTATTTGGGTTATTAAGGCACCCAGAGATTAGCCAATGAATCTAACTAACGAAAAGTAAAACAAGAGATAAAATGAAGAAATGCTCCAAGGGTTCGTCTAATTTGCTGCTACAGAGCAACGCCTCTTTCTGCAGAAGTGCGACCATAAAACCTCATCTTCCGTCTCTCTTCTTCCCGACTTTGCCCTACTCCTCCACCTCCTCATCCTTGATCTTCTCATTGTTATTTCAATTTGTGAAATCGGCCCCTATATTTTTCATTTTTAAAAATCTATGAAGTGTGTACCTCTCTCATACCTCAAAGCTTACACGCCTCTAGGACGGAAATCACTTCAAATCCACTGAACATAACTTACATGATTGAAACCCCAGTTCATCCTAACATGTTAAAAATCTATTTGTGAATGTAACTGGAGCACAACGCTTGATCAATAAGGAATATGAATTAGATAGTTGGTGTGCATTATTTCCTTGATAATGAGAAGGAGATTACCTTGATCTTAATCTTAATCTTGATACAGTGGGAGATCCTAGTGGATTTGATACAAATTTTCAACTAGGGTTTGATACATTCTAACTTTGGTCCTTCAAACACGAGAACTATACATGAAACCGGTTCAATTATGGGCCGTTCAAAATCAATGGTTCCAGACGCGGTTACTAAACATGGCTTTTAAAACTACTCTAAAACAAAATGAAAATAGTTAGTTCCAGATTGAGGTTTCAGTTCATTTTCGGATAACAAAACTGGGAGGTGCTGATCTGGTTCGAAACTGTATTCATCCCTAACTTCAACCCACTTGATAGTTATAACACTATTTTACATTCCTCAATCTAACTACTTTTACAGATTTTTGTATTATGTAATATTTGGCATTATTTGACAGATTTTTGGGAGTGTCACCCCATAGTTTGGTTGATTATGAAGTTTCTTCAACTTCAATGGAAGTTTTACTATATTAAGAATATGGGAGAACTATCAAATAAGCCCTCGAACTTTCATAAAAAGTGAAGATAAGCCCTTTTATAGGAGGCTCTGTCCGGCCGTCGCCATTTGAGGCGGTTTCCGGTGGAATTATTTGATGAAATTTTTTGGGCATCTTCTTCATTAAGTCTAGTTTACTCATACCAAATTTCAGCTAAACATTCAATCAGGAAGGTGGACAAATGAATTTTTGAAGATAACGGCGAAGTTAGTAGTAGAAATAAACTTCCACATAAGAAAGTGGAGCAACTAAAAGTGACATACGCCTCGCCTCATCCAACCAAGATTACGCAATACACAAATTTAAAACGGTTGAATTGGCTTAATTTCTGGTAATTTAAGTGCCAATGGTTCCAATTCTATTACCCTACTCGAAGAACAGATTGTATTAATCTTGTGAATAAACACTTCTGAAAGTACCAAAAATCATCAGTTCATAAAAGACTATATAGCATTACCTGTTAGGAACCCTCTTATATTAGACTAATAATAGAAGTATTAATAAGAATATTAGCAATGGGTACTTGAGGTATTGTATAGTATAAATAGACGGGAGGGGGGAATTAGGAAGGAGGCTTTTTGGGACTTTTGGGACTGGGACTGGGAAAGATTAGAGAGTTATTCTCTTCTCTTTTGGGAGGCTTCGGTCTTAGTTACTGCTTCTCTGTGTAATCGATCTTCTTCTTCAAATAAGTTTTCATCAGTTTTTCTTGTTAATCTTTCCATCAATCTTCTGAATTTCTGGAGGTTCTAACATTGGTATCAGAGCTGTTACATCCTGGAGACAAAGAATCTGAATCATGGAGGAGGAATTCTACCTGACACCGAAAATGGAAAAGAGTTTTGATAATATTGACCGAATTATGAGGGAGACACAAGCGAGTATGGTCGCTATGCAAGAGGCGATGCAAGCTAGCGTTGCAGATTTGCAGAACCGACTTCAAAGTCGTTCGAGGAATCAATCGCACACTTCTGATACGTCGCATCAAGAACCGAAGCTTCGAAAGGAATATGGAGATCGATCGAGCAACACCAGGCATCATCGTCCCTGTGACAAGCCGAGTCCGTCGCAATCACTCACTAAGTCGCAGAAGGAATCGCAGGAGCCGCTAACTGTTTCGCACTCGCGAAAGGATTTGAGCGGAAATTTGGGAAAAATCGCGGAAACGATGGAGCGCTTAAAAGTGGAGAAGGAGAAACGTGCGAAGAGCAAACAACATCACCGGCGAGGACGATCGAGGAAGGTACGTCGCTGTGTGAATTCGGAAAGCAAAGGTCCGTCTCAGTCGCAAGATACTCATTCCGGACCTCTGGCTTCGACTCTAGTAGAAATCCCTAGTTCGCAATCGCGAACTGTTTCTCTCTGTTCGCCATTGCTAACCGAGCATCTTCTATTGTTATCACAAGTAGATTCTTACCCTGCGCCAGACTTGTCTCTTCATTCGCAGAGGTCATTGCAAACCATATCTCCCAGGGTGCTAATGTCAACATGCCAACATGAATCATCCGTTTCAGAATTTAAAATCATAGCCGCATCATTAAAAGGATTAAAAGGGACTATAATTCTGGAAATTCATATTGAATTGAAGCAAGTGGCACCAACAGTTTCAGGGAATAGTGAAGTTGATATTCTGCAGGTATATGATAGTGATATTCGTGTAGGAAAGTGCACAATGACTTTTGGGTTTGTACAGGAGAGGAACTGGCTTAACGCTTTAAAATTTGTGATGATGGACTGTCATGCATTTAACATTAATTTGGAAGGGCTGAACTCATTGAACAAGTTTGATAGTTTCAGATGTGAGGGCATTGCTTCTATGATGGGTAATAAAAAGGGGTTAGAAGAGGACAAGGTGTTGAGCATTATTGTTTTTAGGAGAGGGATGGAGAAGTATGTTGCTGATACTTTGGAATACCAGTTGGATAAAATCAGTATGGCCCTAGGTCCTATTACTCAGGCTACTGTTAATGGACTGGAAGCTGAAGCAAAACTGAACTGTTCCACTTATGTTCTTGTAACGGAAAACAAGCTAGGAGAAGATGTTGGAGATATAGAAGTAGAATCCTACTTGCTGGAAAGAATAGTTATGGCAATATCCCAGTATCAATGTGCAGTTTTTTCCTTGTTTGTCAATATCCCAATACACATCAGGCAACACATGGCATCAGGATATAGATTGATTGAGGAGTTTGTAAGCTGCCAGACATCTTTGGAAAGGTTCATGGTCCCACAATCAGTTCGATATTGGGAAGGGAGAGGAACAAGGAAGAGGAAGAGGAAGCCGAAGATTGTAGCTGTTTCATATAATCCACCTTGAGGGCAAGGTGGAAGTTTAGGGGGGGAGTATTGTTAGGAACCCTCTTATATTAGACTAATAATAGAAGTATTAATAAGAATATTAGCAATGGGTACTTGAGGTATTGTATAGTATAAATAGACGGGAGGGGGGAATTAGGAAGGAGGCTTTTTGGGACTTTTGGGACTGGGACTGGGAAAGATTAGAGAGTTATTCTCTTCTCTTTTGGGAGGCTTCGGTCTTAGTTACTGCTTCTCTGTGTAATCGATCTTCTTCTTCAAATAAGTTTTCATCAGTTTTTCTTGTTAATCTTTCCATCAATCTTCTGAATTTCTGGAGGTTCTAACATTTCTGAAAGTACCAAAAATCATCAGTTCATAAAAGACTATATAGCATTACCTCCCAGAGAAAATCCAACAACAAATGCTGCTGCAAGCCGATCTTCAGGTGAAAACTGTGAAAACTCAAGACACGATAAGAGTAAAAAGTCTTTCTTGGTTTCCAAAATTAACTAAAATAATTGCCTTTTTCTTTCTGCATTGCATTCAATACTTTTCCTGCATAGAAAAGAAGATGATGGAGAAGACACATTACCTTGTAACCTATTAGACCAACTCTGTTCAATCGTGATGCGCGGAAACTGTTCAGTGGGACTCTCTTTCCTAAACCACTCTCTGACACAAACAGCAGCCATGGACCAGTTATGTTCCTACGACTACACAATTAGCTTAATGAGCATTAAATTGTCAACATAACTACGTAGACAAAAACTACAGATGGACGAATTCATAAAGAATTGGAATGAGTTAATCAGAAACGTAACTACATCTCATGCATAGATCAGTGAACTGAATCATACACAGTGGTTGGTTGCCAAGGAAGTTTAGATTTTATTTCACACAATGCCAAGAGGATACCAGAGTTACCAAATTCCCACTCAGAGGGTGCCACAGGGTTTCCAAATTCCCACTTCATGGCATTATGCACATATGAGTAATAATTCCAAAGTGAGTACAACACTACAAATATGGGTTTGTGCACCTAGTATGTGCTGAAATTCACAACTAAGAGAAAACAAGAGAAAAGACATGAGGCACCCACGTCAGGCAACTATGCAACTATAAAGAGCTATCTCTTTCAAAAAAGAGACAACAGATATACAAGCAATCCATTAGCAAAAGCTTTGCATCCTGCCTAGAGCATGCTCCACATAAAGCAATACAGTCTAAAAGTGAGCGCATGTTCTATATCGGAAATAAAACATCTAAATAATTCCTTAAGCCATGAAGCTAGTCTAAAGCATAATGTATAATCTTAAAGTGAGATTTTAATAACGTTTTGAGAGATTTAAAATTACTGGATTTCAGGAGCATCTGAAATATTCTCAAATCCATTCCACAAAGCAGCAGGTACTACGTCCAAGCTAGCCATTTTATCTCCTTCTTTCATTCTCATAGCTACAGAGCCCCTAGTATTTCTTCCTTGAGCTCTTATCTGGAACACATAAAGAAACTAAATGAATCAAAAGTACTCATCACCGATGCTCAACAGCAAGTTCAATTAATTGGCAGAATCCTATTATCAATGTCCATATTAGCAGAAATTATTATTTAGTAGTGTGCGACAGGGACCATAGCTGCTTCTTCTGAAAAGCCTAGGATTTTTTCAGATTAGTTTTTATTTTATTTTTGTTTCTACCTTTAAATTTTTTTGGTGTTGAAAATGAGACTTGTCTGTTCTTTGAGAGTGTTATAGTTCTTGAACATATGTTTCATTGTAGGTATTATTGGGGGGATTCTAAGTGTAATTGATGCTTGAGCGAGAATTATTATTTGGAAATATATCTAGAAATAGAAATGCCCATTTCAGCTTCATACCATTTCAATTTTGTGTTTTCATATTACTATTTCTACCTAAACTCTTCTCCTTTTCTAAACTATATTATTAATAAAATCAACCTTTGAATTGCTTATTCTCATAAATAAAAACTTACTTGATAAGTTTTGTGGACTACCCGAAAGAACAATTCTAATGATGTACCACAATTGGTTTGATCATAGATTCATAATAGGATACAAAAGAACAATGTTACACTGAACAGACTTTGAAACTTGCGGAGTGGAAAATGTTGTCATAATTCATGAATGATTATTGTGGGAAATTGTATTTATGCTGGATATATTATTTATTACATAAAAGTTGCAATTTTTTCACGTCCCTTGTTTCAGCGATGCAATACTTGAACCTAATTTTCGAATTAGAAGTTTGCAAAACTTTAAATTATTTTGGACCACAGTAGCAGGATGTGCATTTAACTTTGAATTCCTAATCACGAGTGGAACTCCCACTCTAGCAAAAAATATCATACTTTTTCAACAACTAAAATTTACAAATTTTCATAATGGCCTTTACTATGTATTTAGCAGATAATAGAACTGAAGAAAAATAAAACTAAAGACCTGATGTCTTTTTATCAAATACATACCATAAGATAAATTATATTAGACTAACGAGAACTCACACTTTCGCAAGGGCTCAAAATCACCAATCCATTTTGTGATGCCATTGCTACAAAATCATGATTAGTGCAACGTTTTACCCATTTGAGTTCATCACCATGGACCTGTCAAAAAAACTATTGTGTTTGAGATTCATTGATCAGACACCATATAAACGAAACGATAAGACCAAAATGATGTGATCATGTGACTAACCAATTGAATTGCTATTATTCCGGTTGACCTGATAGAGGAGAAAAAGTTCAAGGAAACTTTCTTTATATAACCCTTTGCAGTTAGCATTATAAGAAATTGATCCTCCGTGAATTCATCCAAAGGTATGATTGAAGTTATTCTTTCACCATCCGACAACGATAATATCTAAATCCAGGATGTATTAAAATAGAAGTAATTAAAAGATGACAAGTAAAAAGGGAAAACAAGCAGAGGAAATAGAAAATAATAAATTTAGCCAGGATATACCTGGACTAAGGTGGTTCCTGCAGCAGCTCTGCTACATTCAGGTATCTTGTATGCTGGAGCAGAGTACACGGCACCTTTGTCACTGAAAAAGTAAAAGAAAATACAGATAGAATTCAGATCTGCAATTCTTCAGTGAAACAAGGCCAGCTAATGAATTTGGGTTTGATAAGGTAGTGGACAGGACAGCATTGTGAGATAGTGAAATCTTAAGATCATAATGCAGCAGAGCATGCAAGTATAGGTACCTAAAATAAAGGACCTGGTCATGGGCATGACAAACTATGAAATCGGACATAGTATCATCTACCCTTAGTTTACCAACAGATTTACCGATAGTCCCACGGTGTTGAAGGTTAAACGTATCAGGCCTCATCCTCTTAACATATCCCTTCTCACTAACCGCCTGAAATATAAAAAAAAAAAACTATAAACTCGAGATAACAGACCGAGAGAAAATTACGTTGAGACAAATATTTAGCTTTCAAGAAAAGTACAAGAAGAATTTCGTCATTTGGGATGATATCAATATCTTCAACTTGGCCACTACCCGAATCCACCAGCATCGAACGCCGAGGAGAGGAAAACTTATTTTTTATTTCAACAGCTTCCTCTTCAATTAACTGGTAAGTAAAAAAAAAGTTACCCAAAATTTAAAGCAATAAAATTGAGAATGCTGCAAATGCATCAAAGGAAGAGAATTGAGCAGCAAGGTCTTTAATGAATTACTACCTGGAGTATTTTCTTTCTACTAGACAGAAGTACTTCTAGCTTGTTGATTTGTTCTGTTAAACATTTCCCTTCATCAATAAACTTATGTCTCTGCATTATATAGCATGAAATTTGTGAATTTTACCTTGATCAATGTCATATCTATTATAGTATGACTAATGAGTCAGATAAGTGCAGCACACCTCTAGTGCAGTGAGCCTTCTTAGGCTTATATCCAATATTGCATCAGCTTGTTTTTCTGTCAATTCAAATTCTGAAACAAGGGGAGAAAAGGCTAGCCTTTTTAGCAAAGATATAAAAAATAGCTAGTCACGAACTAGAACCTAAACTAGCGTAGCGATGGTTAAAACCTGAGCCCCTCAACCAAAACACTGGATAAAGCAGTACTAAACTAGAAGAGCCCCCCCCCCCCCCCCCCCCCCCCCAACAAAAGTAAATAATACAGAGTATATAAACAAAAAGGATAAATGAATGAATTAGTAAATGAATAATAAGGGGATTTACATTACCTTTCATCAAACTAGCAGCTGCGAGCGCATTGGTTGGTGCCTTTTTTATTAAGTCAATCACTGTATCCAAATTATCTAGCCCGACTATGATGCCCTTGAATCATAAACCAACAAAATGAGAAAAGATAAAATAAGGAGAATCAAAAGCCAATCTCTTTGAAAAAGAGCTATATAAGGTGTGTGCCTTGCAATTTAGTTTTCTGAAAAGAAATAAGAACATGACTCATAAATCCTGAAGTGTTTAAGAGTGCTCAAAAGAGGGAACTATGATGCACGAAAAGCTGAAAACTTTGGACTCTATAGTAGGAGTATGCTTGCACTTCGGAAACTCTTTACATGCTCATCATTGCGCTCATCAGACACATCTTTTCCTATTGAAAGATCACATTCTACGGTTCACATTTCCCACGCTTCTCACTTTTCCATGCAACATAGGAGGAAGCAAAAAGAGTGGATGTGCCCCAACAAGAGCACCAAACATGTGCTCAAATGTTCATTTTCAAGTGAACCCAATTATAGTATTTACATTTTACACAGCAATCAAAATATTGTCTTATGATAAATATATACCAAGCTTGAAGCATTTCTATATTCTTCAGCTTGAGCAACCAATAGTATAAAACTGAAGTCGTAATGTAGCTGACTAGCTGTAACACATAATTATCAAATCATGGTTCAAGTCAAGAACCACAGGATATATTCTTGAATCATGAACCATAATGTGTTATCAATAGCAACATACGTGATCAGATAAATATAAATTTAATTTGATCTTATAGGGTTTCACGGAGTTTGAGTAAATTTGTGGGGTAGTAAATAGTGTTGAGAATGGAGTGAGAAGATAAAAAAGTAGGAAAAGTTGGAAAGAGAAGATCAAAAGAGTAAGGATATTTATGTCCTTTATAGATGAAAAGTTCGGGAAAATATATAAAACGGAAAGTGGAGCAAGTAATAACAAACATCAACCCTACTAGGGCACTAGCCTTAAATTCACTCATGGGGCTACAGTGCCCAATACCTTTTCTGAAGTTTCAGCTGGAGGCAGTCAGGCAGGCCCCAAGGAATAAGCTCCAAAAGCCTTTTTAAACTTTGCTCAAATAGAAGTGAATGTAGAGAAACATTATTCAGGACATGAAAGTTAAAAAATTCTTTAAGCATACCTCAACAATATGGTTTCTTTGTTGTGCCTGTGAAAGTTTGAACCTAGCACGCCTTTCAACAATAGAACATCTAAAGTCCAAAAATGCCTGTATTATGGGAAGTAGTGCAAAGTATGAAAAACTAATATGCTTCCACTGAAAATGAAGTTGAACAAATCACAAAATTTAAAAACAAACTTCCACAGTTCCACTCTTTGTAGGGATAACAACATTTCAAGCAATATTATGCAGATGAGGAACACATGAAAACAGATTTTGAGAAGTACTGCCAGTTGAATAAAATGAACGTCCAGTCATTATATTCTCACTGCATTTTAGTATTTTACTACTAGTCATAATTTCTTATTAAGTTTACGACTACTAAATGCAGCAAGTCAGTAATTAAAACAATTGAAAACACTATTTCAATCATTCAACCTACTGCTGCTGCACCACAAGTTTTATATACATGCAAGGAGAACCTGAAAAAAAAACATCACCTGGAGCAATTCTTTCAGGCCCATCAACTTTGGTTCCCCATTGAGGATACTGACCATAACAATGAATAACAAAAGTATATCAAGAAATGCTTTAGATCAATAATGAACTATAAACTAATTAAACTCACAAGGTACAACCCATGTTACATCATTACATATACAATAATAAGTTGATCAAAGTACTGCAATATGTCGATCTAAATATATGAAAGTGTGTGCAAGATGGTTTACAAATATTACAAATATAATGGCTTCTTTTCGAATATTAAAAAAAACAGGGACTTATTTGTAAAAAAGAATAAAATATATTGACTTATACATATAAATTAAAATTTTAAAACTTTGCTTAAAAAATAACTATGTAAAAAATTAAATAATTTTTTTGTATGATATGTATACAAAAATCTAGAGTTGTATATTATTATTAACCATTTTAGAAATTTAAAAAAGGTAAAAAAAATTATATACTACGTAGTATTTACTAACTTCAAATTTGAATAAAATAAAAATAAATTACTTTATATGCAAATAGCCAAATAAGCTACTACCTCTGTCCCACTAACATTGGGACATGAGGAGCTAATGGGGTTATTAAGAAAAGTGGGTTTATGTGATTGATTTTGAATTGATAAAGTAAGAATGATTTAGAACCATACAAATTGGGTATGAGACAATCTTAGTGGGACGGGCCAAAAAGGAAAGATGAGACAATGTTAGCGGGACGGAGGGAGTATGGAACAAATCCATAAAAATTCTGTTTTAAATTGAATATAATCTAATCCTCAATACTTGATAGGGACAGCCGGACAGGTTGAGTTAAGTATCGGATTAGACTTGGCATCCATAGATTTGACATGTATATCACTATATCTCCATGGAATTGTTAGGTGACGTAGGCATATCCTGTTTTTTGAATTAAAAAATGGCACGATACTTTTTTGGAAATTGCCGATATACCCCCCATATGTTGGCATTGGGAAGTACATCTATTGAAAAATAATTGGATTGGCAGATAAATAGGATAGTAGCTCTTTGAAGTAGTAGTGCAACACAGGATGCAACTAACATGAAGCTATACAAACAATGTAAGCAATAAGACTCTTGTACCGACTGCTTAATCTCTTGCCACACTGTTTCCCATTAAAAAAGAACTTACCCAACCATGTTACAGCTGAAAGTAGATTGCAGAGCAGTATGACGATAAAGATTGTTCAGTACAATAGATGAATCTGCTCCTCTCTTAAGCTGTAAAATATGAAATGGTAGGACAACTATTGTCAAATGATCCAACGAAATAACTTAAACGTAAAGTGATTTACACAGTTGTGGAAATTAATTTCTTCCACATTTACCATTTACATAATTACTACCTCAATGACTATGCGCATTCCGCATCGGTCACTCTCATCTCGAATATCACTTATTCCTTCCAAACTCTGAAAAAGGTTAGGGAGCATTAACTTACCAGAAACAATTGTTACAGTAATAGGACTACCATATATAAATGAGCCCATCAAGTAAAAGAAAGAAAACAGAGTTTACTAAGATAATAAACTGAACACGGGGAAAATGAAGCAGTAAAATTCATGCATCTGATAAAAAAGTAATCTGGAAAACAAAAATAGAGGTAAAACTAACTCCGATACAGCCAGTCATCCCGTAAAATGTTGATTTCAAAATTTTAGCAGATAAGACCGGTGAGTGAACCAGTTGAGACAATATTTAACTGGTCATATCAAATCAGAAAGGTAAATGAACTAGTCAGCTATTGTGGATAAACTAGTACAACTTTAGTGATATTATATTCAAAACAGCATACACACACATATAGAAATGTATTCGTACGCACATAGATGACTCTAAAGTTAGAAAAAATCTATGTGAAAAGAAAACATTACATCTTTGCAATTTGAAATGAAAAGAGAAGAAAAACTAAAACTGATTGAGATTGACATTCCTTAAATGTTAACTCATTAATAGTATGGCTAAATAAAGCAATAATACCGAAGGATTAGGTAAGAATTGTTATATTAGTCTAACAAAAATACAAACCAGCTGAAAGAGTGAACCCACCGGTCTGTTCAGTCGGTTCACCACTGATTCCTGGCCCAGTGATTTTAATTGCAGACAAGACCAGTTTACCAGCCGATTTCCAGTCTGCAATATCTGATGGGCCAGACTGGTCTGGTTTTCAAAACCATGAACTTTAGGTACTGCAACTGTATAGACATGTACATAGACAGCCCTGAGGAATATAGAATGACTAAAATACATATCCTTCCAACATGATTTCCTTCAAATAATGGTTGTTAAAAGGATAGCTCCACATGTTCAACAACAACAAAAACATGTCTTGCTTTATGGTCTAAAGTTTTCTAAAATAAAACATTGGTGACATACTCAGTGTGGTCTCTTGCATATTATGCCACCTAATACTTCCTCCGTTTCATAAAAGTTGCAACATTGGAATTTCTGCACTATTCACACACCTTACTTTGAATACGATTTTCTAATAATATATATAATAAAAATATTATGTATAAAATATTAATAAATTTATATTAATGTAAGTTTCCAATATATTAACTTTTTTTAATGTTTACTAATACGTAAATAAATATAATTACAGTCAAAGTTGCGCGTTGGCAAACGTGAAAGTCAAACTGTTGCAACTTTTATGGAACGGAGGATAGTATAATACAATCTATATTATAATCAGTATTTAAGCTTTCTAATCTATTTTTTTATCAAAAGAAACTTCTTATTCCATATAAGAAGCTGCAAAGATGAATATCATATACTAAAACCTACCTTATTTTCAACAAGTTCAGCAATCTTCTGAACAAGGGATGCTTTGTTTGTCTGGTATGGTATCTGTTTCAATCATTTTCCAATTGAAAAAAACATATCAGTTCTTTCAACCCAATTCTGTCCATAAGAAGGAAAAAAACATCCAAATGACAATATATAATTCTGAGGGAAAGGAAATGAAACCTCTTTAATTATAATTGCAGCTCGCTTTGTTTTGGAATCAAGTATATCAATATCAGTCTTCCCTCTTACTATTATACGTCCTCTTCCAGTCCGGTACGCTTCTAAGATGCTTAACATCAAAGAGCACATGTAGATTTAATGATTTATGTCATGAAATCATGCCAAGTTTCATCATGAAGGCTCTCTTTTTTCATTTTTAGATATTTAACTTTCAGATGTTAGTACATAAGTTAAACAAGGCTCAGAAGCCTGTTTGACCCCTTGGAATGTCTAGGTAGCAATAGACTTTGGACTATTAGCCTCTATTTTCGGTCATTGTCGTATGTTATATATTGGATCTATCAGGTTCAATTATTCAATATCGAATATTATCCAGAGCTAAGTCACCTAATTCGCTCATAGCTCCTGTGTATCATGTTCCGGAATGAGCATACAGCATACCAATTCACATGTTGCTACTGCTTCAGAAATGCCATGGATCAAGTGCTGCAAAGCATGATTATGATTTAGGGAAGGCCTGTCTAGACTAGTAAAGTAGATGACAAATTTGAGGTCATTGAGTTGTGAGCTATATTGCAATGAAGAAGACCTGAGTGAGAAACATTGCAAATAAAATGCTTGCTCAAAAAACAGATGAAGAATGTGCAGACAGAGGAAGAAGATGATGACCTAGGCTTTATGTTGGACTAAAGTTTAGGCTTTTGTCTTTAATGATGAACGATTAACATCATTTGGTAACCCACTCCGACCAACTTAGGTGCTAGGGTCAGGCTTTAAAACATTCCTTAATGGGAAAACTGTCAAATAGGTCCATGAGCTTTATAAAAAAAGGAAAGGAAAAGAAAGAAAAAATTGGAAAACAGAAAAAAATGCCAGCTTGGACGTCCACGTAGGCGTTTGAGCGGGTAACCAGTTGACTGCCTATTAAAAAGCTGATTTCGTCATTTATTGATAGTTCGAGAACTTGATTGACTCGAAAAAAAGTACATGGGCTCAATTGACTTTTTGTTAAAAGTACATGAACCTATTTGACAGTTTTCTCTTCCTTATTATAATTAGTACTACAACTACTATAATTATTACTCCCTCTGTCCCACTATGATTGCCCCATCTTTCCATTTTAGTCCGTCCCACTAAGAGTATCCTATACCAAATTTGGTAATGTTTGTGTGGTGTGTAACAGAAAAATAAAATCAACGGGGTAAACCGTTGCCCAGATAATCAACGATAAAAATACCGTTGCCCAGAGCCAAAGGGCTAAAACCAATTTTATTCCAAGATAAGATAGAATGAACCCTGGCAAGGAGTATAAATAGCCTTCTTAGAGAACCACTAATCAAGCCCAAATTAATTAAATCCTAATTAAGCCCATAATAACTCTACTAAGTACTCTACTAATAATAGGCCCAAAGTAAAACATTACATTAACTTAATAATAATAAATAAACTCTATTGACAGCCCTAACCCGGCCCACGGAAGTGGGCCCAAGCCCGGTCCCACTCCATGCTCTTCCCCCTCTCTATCAATCCATCCTCCTTCAAAATAACCTTGTCCTCAAGGTTGAAATCCGGAAACCGGCTCACATTTGTCCCCGGGGGCTGGCCAGTATCTTTAGGAAAAATTGAGATGTACTCCCCAGTCCCTGTCTGCTTGTCTCCGGGCAGCCGTTTAAAGCGATTGCCCTTAAACCGTGAGTCAAAACGAGCCACCAATGCCTGTGTAAGCTCATCCCATGACATGACCGGCTTTCGTGCCCGTAACCAGGTCAACCGATATAAGGTTGACCCTTCCATCGCAACTACAATGGCTGCCACCTTCATTCCCGGTGGAGTACAGTTCAATTCGAACTGTTGCTCAGCCCTATCAACCCAGCTGATCAGTTTTTCTCCGTTAAACGAGGGCAACATCGTGAGAAAGGTGCTGCACAGTCCAATTCCGAACGAGGATGCTGCTGCCGCTTCAAGTGAAGCCATCGCCATTGACTGCTCCTCCACCGCTGGCGGCGCGAGAGCCTCTGTAAACGCAGCCAAGGAGGAAGTGACGCTGCACGGCTGTCTGTCGCTGCTGTGCGCAGATACGGTGGGGCTGCCAACCGCGTTCAGGCTTGATTCCGTCATGACCGGAGGAATTAGCACCTTGGTAAGCGCTGCCAGGGATGCGGCAATCTCTGCCAGACGCATGCCGTGCTCCTCTAGGGTTTGATTCATCCGAGTTTGCTTGGCGACCATCTTTGTAAAGCGGTCGATCTGAGATCCCATCATCTTGGCGAGACGGGATCCGGTAGGTCGGACCAATTGTTGTGTAAGAGAAAAATAAAATCAATGGGGTAAACCGTTGCCCAGATAATCAACAATAAAAATACCGTTGCACAGAGCCAAAAGGCTATAACCAATTTTATTCCAAGATAAGATAGAATGAACCCTGGCAAGGGGTATAAATAGCCTTCTTGGAGAAACCCTAATCAAGCCCAAATTAATTAAATCCTAATTAAGCCCATAATAACTCTACCAAGTACTCTACTAATAATAGGCCCAAAGTAAAACATAACATTAACTTAATAATAATAATAAATAAACTCTAATGACAGCCCTAACCTGGCCCACGGAAGTGGGCCCAAGCCCGGTCCCGCCCCATGCTCTTCCCGCTCTCTATCATTGTGTGATTCAAAACCATTCTAACTTTATTTTCACTTTATCAATTCAATATCAACCACATTAACTCACTTTTCCTGGTAAACGCATCACCTCTTCTTGTACCAATGTTAGGGGAATGGAGGTAGTACTATTATTGGTAATTATTTATTCTAGAAATTTGTTGTACGAATAGATTTGTAAAGGATTAAATTTGAATTAAGTTTAAAATATTCAAAATGAGCAAGGCTTTTATTGCAGAGCCTTTGATCCTAAGGTCTCAAATTAAATTTGATTTAATTCAGTATAAATGTCCTGAAAACCCGAACAAGTAAGATTCATGTACTGCGTTCCATATTAGGTCCAGAACAGGTAACCTTCAGTACAAATGTCTTGAAGCCCCCCCCCCCCCCCCCTCCCCAAGACACCTGAAAAGTGAAAAACAGAAATTGTATCCCATATTCCCTTTTACCTGCCCTTGTATGTACCACGAACTGGAGTGTACCACATTTATCTGATTACTTGGGTCCAAACCATCAGCTTAGAAGAAAGGTGGGATGAGAATACAAGTTAAGTTTACAAGTCCTTGATGGGGGAATGTTATAAACATTTCAAAAAGTGAAACTTAAACCAGGCCAGCCATTAACCTCTTCAATATTGTTCCTATTCACTAACCTCTTCAATAATGTTCCTATTTTATTGATTGTATTCAAAGGGATGAAATTGGAATTCTATCTCTATCTTTCCTCTTATGTACCAATAGTAGTAGTGCAAAACAGGTTGGTCACAATGCCTACATGACAATAACAAACTGTTCTTTACCACAGATCTAAGCATTTTCCTTTAACATTTGGCATCAGTGCTTATTATAGAGGTTAAACACGGGATATTGGGCCTCTTAATTTCTTATCATGTTTGTTCTCCTCCCCATAGGTCAGGTAGATGGCGAGAAATTCAAAAAGAGAAGATGAGAACTTACCCAATGTTTCCCATTATGATTCCTCCTGTAGGGAAGTCAGGTCCGGGCATGTGCTCAAGTAGTTCTTGGAGCTGCATTAAACAAGGGTAGCAATTAAAAGCAGGCAGAGTTAAATAAATTTCAATGGATTAACTATATCAAATTTTTACTTTGACGACCAATCCTGTTGAACAACTGTTACATGTCTTTTTGCATTAACTTTTCTCAGTAGCAAGATCAAGTGATACAAGAACAAATGAAAAGAGTCATGTTTAATTTGTTGATAATCCCTATTGAACAAGTATCATAGATCTTTTTGCATTAGGTTTGCACAGTAGCTAGAACAAGTTGCACAAGAACAAATGAAAATGTATCATAACTATAGTTGTCACGGCGGTAAGGCGAGTCGCGGCACCAGCCGACCGCCATATTGCCTAGGCGACAAGCCGACAAGGCGCCCGCCTAGGCGATAATTAGGCGACCAGTCGCACATTGCGTAATATATTATACATACAATTGTATATATTTATAAGTATATATTCATAATTATATAATATTCTGTTTAACTATATTTAATTTGTAACTTATTATATATTATATATACTATATATAATATATATTACTAATTAAATTGTATATTACCTAGAATTTAAACCAAGAATTAATAATTGAAAACAACAAACATATTTATAAAACTGTATACCACAACATACATAGTTATAAAATATTACTGGCAAGTCCACAACATACACAAGTATGTGCTATAGAAGGAGTAGTATATAAATATGTACGTCTTAATTTGTGTCCCCACTCCCCACTCCCCAAAAAAGTATACCACTTGTCCACTTGCATTATTAGATAAGGGACACGCTCACACACTTACTGCTACTGCTAGAAGAAAAAAGACATGATCACATGCGGCTCTGCTATTGCTAGAAGAAAAGCTCTGAACGATGCTCGATACTCGACTGGAGTTGTATGCGACGCCGGACTGCCGGTGTGGTCAAGTTCAGAGCTTCGTTCAATGATTAAGTTTAGGAATGGGCAAGTAAGACATGGGCTTTATTTGAAATCCTAATTAAATCAGTTGCCTAAATTTGGGCCTGCGTTTGGAATGCAAAAGATTAATCTACGATTAATCTGTTAGTTATACTCTGGCGAACGCCTTCTCGCCAAACCGACCGACTGGACAACGCCTGAAGGACGCCGCGGTCACCTATTCTTCTTCTGGCGAGGCGATGGCTCATGGAAACCCCTTCCCAATGACTGGACGCCTAGTCAGCGCCTAGGCGACGCCGTAACAACTATGATCATAACATCTTTTGAATGTGATATTTTAGCCTTCAGGGGTATCCAACTGCACTTGATGAATGTGATATTAAAGGGGAATCAAGTATATGTGATCATGTGGCATACAATAACCATTCTGATCCTAGACTATGAAGATGACTGCCAAGAGTACATTTTTTCCAATATGACATGATTAATTGTTACAAGTTGGGGATTGTTAGTATACATGTCCTAGAGACAATACTATTTAGAGATATATGTACTAGATCACATTTAGGATTTATTATATTTGATATCTACGGTATCACATCTTTATGATTAACTATTTTTTTATTGTCTATATATTATTCATACTTGTGTTTCCTTGGACTTATATTTTCACTAAGTAAGTCAGAACTTGTATACCATAAAAGAAAGTCCTAAAATAGCTCCAATCAATTATCGAGAATGAGATATCAATGATATGCGATAAGATTGGTATGTGAAAGTGTAGTTGATCTCACGACTCTGGGATATTCTCCTCCGTGATTCACACACATCTTTCCCTATTTAGTATTTCCTGAGAAACAAAGATTTCCTAGCTTTTTGTTTAGAGAGATCTAACCGTTTGTTCAGAAAGGAAAAATCATGTGGATACCAAAGGTTAAAGATTAAATGCCCTACCAAGTAAGTATTTGTTTAATTCCGATATTATCATATCTTATTCATTAGTCAATCATAATCAGAAATATGTCCAGAAAAATTAACATTTCTATTGCGGTACTTTTGACGTAAGTTACATAAATTTTCTAACACTCATAATACTCCTTTTTTATGTCATGGAATTTGAGTACCTATCTTCTGTTATTACTAGCAAAATATAAGCTTGAGATGCTCTCTACATTTCCTATTTCGCACTATATGAGACTGTAGAAATAACTTGAGAAAGTAAAATGTATTTTATTTCTCTTATTCTATGTAATACAATGAGATGAATACAGAATATATATAGCTAGAGAAAAGTGGAATAAGGAAGGAATCCTCCTTATTAAGATTCCTTAATAACGACAAGATAATTGGGGATATTTAGAGATTCTGAGATCTCTAAGATATCTCCTCATAAATGCTAAATCGGATGAGTAATTATCTGTAATAATCTACACTCCCCCTCAAGCTGGGTGATGGATATCATCCATGCACAGCTTGCTAGATAAGTCTTCAAACTGAATTCTGGGAAGTGCCTTGGTGAGTATATCCGCTATTTGCTGTCTGGTTGGAACATAGTTCAGCTGGATATCCTTTACTGCAATCTTCTCTGATAAGAACCTTCTGTCTATATCAATGTGTTTGGTCCTGTCATGATAAACAGGATTCTTAGCAATACTGATAGTAGACTGGTTGTCACATGAGATCTGGATGGAGCTTTCAAATGGGAGTTTGAGCTCATTCATCAATCTTCTTAACCACAATCCTTCACAGATTCCTTGTGTTAAAGCTCTGAGCTCAGATTCCGCACTACTTCTAGAAACCACTGATTGTTTCTTGCTCCTCCAGGTGACTAAATTACCCCATACATAGGTACAGTAACCAGTAGTTGACCTTCTGTCTAAGAGGCTTCCAGCCCAGTCAGCATCTGTAAACACTTCAATCTTCCTTGTCCCAGTCAGCATCTGTACCTCAGAATTCTATACACTGCAGTTAGGTGTTCCTCGGTTGGGTCATTCATGAATTGACTTACCACACTTACTGAGAAAGCAATGTCTGGCCGTGTGTGAGATAGGTAGATTAGCTTCCCTACCAGCCTTTGATATCTACCCTTATCAACTGGTGGACTTTCAGTCTCACTGCCTAACTTCTTTGATATATCCATAGGAGTGTCCATAGGCTTGCACCCAAGCATTCCAGTTTCACTTAGCAAGTCTAGAACATATTTCCTTTGTGAAATGAAAATGCCCTTCTTAGATCTTGCCACTTCCATTCCCAGGAAGTACTTCAACTCGCCTAGCTCCTTGATCTCAAATTCTCTTGCTAGATGAGCCTTCAATCTGTCCAATTCAGCCTTATAATCCCCAGTCATAATAATATCATCAACATATACTATAAGAATAGCCAATTTTCCAGAGTCTGCTCTCTTTACAAACAGTGTATGGTCTGCCTGACATTGCATGAACCCTTGTTTAATAACTGATCTTGTGAACCTATCAAACCATGCTCTAGGAGACTGCTTTAGTCCATACAAGTACTTTTTCAGTCTGCAAACCTGACCAGATTTCCCCAAGTCTTCTAATCCAGGTGGTACATCCATGAATACTTCCTCTTCTAGGTCTCCATTAAGAAAGGCATTCTTAACATCTAGTTGATGTAATGGCCAGTCTAGGTTCACTGCGAGTGATAACAGCACTCTAATGGTGTTCAACTTTGCCACTGGTGCAAATGTCTCTGAATAATCAATGCCATAAGCTTGGGTGAACCCCTTAGCAACCAGCCTTGCCTTCAGCCTTTCAATCTTTCCATCAGCCTGATATTTAACTGTAAATACCCACTTGCAGCTAACAGTTCTCTTCCCTGCCGGCAAATCTGTAAGCACCCAAGTTCCATTCTTCTTCAATGCTTCTAACTCATCATGGACAGCCTTCCTCCACCCTGGATGTTCAAGGGCTTCCTTGATGTTGTTAGGAACCTGAATACTATCAATCTTTGAAATAAAAGTTTGATAGTTTGCTGATAGTTTCTTATAACAAACAAAATTATAGATAGGATGCTTGGTACACTCCCTTACTCCCTTTCTGATAGCAATAGGCAAGTCTGGTTCCTCATCATCTCCTTCTATAGCCTCAACCTCTTTGTCATCAAGACTCAAATTTGAGTCAGATGATTGGGTGGTGTTAATTGGAGTGATGTGCTCTTCTTCTGGAACTCTGGTTCTAGGTTTCCGCTTATAGGTATTCTTGTAGAATGGGGAATTTTGATTTAGTGTAGGATTTTGGGGTAATGATTGGGGTGATAAAGTTGGTGGCTGAAATGGTGTGGTTGGTGGAGAGACTGTATTGTCTGGAGGGTTTGATTCAGGTCTGTCTGGGAGTATGGATTCAGTGTGGTTAGATTCAGATTCTTGGAGGTCTGGAATAGTGTCTGAAATAGGATTCAAAGACTGGATTTCATTGTGGTTCTCCCCCTGAAATTCAGTTTTGGAATAGAAAGGCTGATTTTCAAAAAAGGTTACATCCATTGTGATGTAGACCTTTTTGTTGGCAGGAGAATAACATTTATATCCTTTCTGGTTGGCAGCATATCCTATGAATATACAAGGTAAGGATTTAGGATCCAGTTTTGACCTAACTGGAGAATGGTTGTGAACAAATGCTTTGCAACCAAAGACCTTTGGTGGAAGATTGGTAATAGGGATGTGAGGATGTAGATAAGATAGGATTTGGTATGGTGTTTTAAATTTGTGAGTTTTGGAGGGCATCCTATTTATCAGGTAAGCTGCAGTTAGGACAGCCTCTCCCCAGTAGTGTTTAGGAGTGTGAGTGGTGAACATAAGGGCTCTAGCAACTTCCAGTAAGTGTCTATTCTTCCTTTCTGCCACACCATTCTGTTGTGGGGTGTCAACACAGGAGCTAATGTGTATAATCCCCTTTTTTGACAGAAACTCTCCTAAATTGGATGAGAAATATTCTTTGGCATTATCAGTTTTAAAAACCTGAATCTTGGTTTGAAACTGAGTTTTGATCATAGAATAGAATTTTTGAAAGATAATATTGACTTCTGACTTATCTTTCATGAGGAAGACCCAGGATAGACGTGTATGATCATCAATAAACAGAACAAACCACCTTGAGCCAGTGAGATTTTTGACCTTAGATGGGCCCAAACATCACTGTGGATGAGAGAAAAAGGTTTAGATGGTTTGTAAGGTAGACTGGGATAGTGACTTTTAGTATGTTTAGCAAGTTGACAAAATTCACAATCAAAGGCAGAACTTTTATTTATGAATAATGAAGGAAATATTTTTTCTAAGTACAAGACATTAGGATGACCAAGACGATAATGCCATAACTGAATTTGAGTATCAAATTGACTCCTACTAAGACTCCCTAAGAACTTATGGTTGAATTGACTCTCACTGGAAGTTGTCTTGTTGGTGGAGTTGGGTGAATGTGGTGAATGTTCCAGAAGATAGAGTCCACCACTTTCCTTAGCACTGCCAATCATCCTCCCCGAATCCAAATCCTGAAATTCACACAATTGTGAAGAGAATTTAGTTAGACAATGTGTATCACTATTCAGTTTACTGACTGATAAGAGGTTAAACTTTAAATCTGGAACATATAACACATTGTTAAGCACTATCTTGTCAGAAATTTTGACTCTTCCTGTCCCTTTTATTGCTGAAGTAGTTCCATCAGCAATCTTCACAGTTACCTTATTCTTCATAGGGATCAATTCAGCAAAAAACTTACTGTCTCCAGTCATGTGATCTGATGCCCCTGAATCAACAATCCAATAGGGCTGATTGTGTGCAACTAGGGTTGTTAGGGCATTACCTGTCTGAGCAGTAAGGCTAGTTGATGGTGCAGGCCCCTTGCTCTGACTTATTAGATGTTGAAGAACCTCAATCTGCTCATTGGTAAATGCAGCAAGATTAGAAGTGCTCATATCTTCTTTATCTCCGGTAGCTACATAGGTTCCTTTCCCTTTGCTTGGTTTGAAATCTTTAGGTTTACCATGCAAATTCCAGCATGTTTCTTTGGTATGACCTGGTTTCTTACAGTGATCACACCATGACCCTTCAATATTTTGTTGTTGGCCTTGAGATTTCAGACCCATCATTACCTTCCTTCTGCTTTCTTCTCTTCTGACTTCTGAGAAGGCTTCTCTAAGGGTGAGTTTCTTTCCCATTATTCTGCCCCTAACCTCATCTAGACTCTTGTCTAAACTTGACAGGAATTTGAAGACTCTCTTCCTTCCACAGATCTCCTGATATAACTTCTTATCTTTAGAACATGACCAATTGTATGTCTCAAACACATCAAGATGCTGCCAGAGTCTCACAAGGTTGTTGAAGTATTGAGTTACACTCAATTCTCCTTGCTGGAGGTTATGTAGCATTGATTCAACCTCAAATAATTCAGAAGTGTTATCTGAAGTTGAGTATGTTTCTTTCACAGCCTCCCAGATCTCTTGAGCTCTTTTGTATAGTAGGAAATTTTCTCCTATATTGGTTGTCATGGAATTGATGAGCCATGACATCACAGTATAATTCTCCTTTTCCCACTTCTTGTAGCCTGGATCTCCTTGATCTGGAGCAGGTGCATCACCTGTCAAATAGTCCTCCTTGTCTTTTCCACACACATACATCATAACGGACTGAGACCATTGTAGATAATTACTACCATTCAGTTTATGGCAAGTAATAATCGAATCTGACTGATAATGAGTGGTGACTGTGCTTCCATTGATATTCTGGTTGCTGCCATCTCCAATTGGGACAACCTCTGAATGTTCAGAGGTGACTGGGATAGATCCATCTCTCTCGGTGGTCATCCCATAGGATCCGAACTTAATCATTTTAGAGAATAACCACGCTCTGATACCATGTAGAAATAACTTGAGAAAGTAAAATGTATTTTATTTCTCTTATTCTATGTAATACAATGAGATGAATACAGAATATATATAGCTAGAGAAAAGTGGAATAAGGAAGGAATCCTCCTAATTAAGATTCCTTAATAACGACAAGATAATTAGGGATATTTAGAGATTCTGAGATCTCTAAGATATCTCCTCATAAATGCTAAATCGGATGAGTAATTATCTGTAATAATCTACAGAGACTAAAGATGTTTTTACTTGGACCGGAATTTTCTACTCTGGTCTGGTTTGGTCTCGTAATTGTCTGGTCTTTGTATATTTTATAACTGTGGAAGTCTGGTCTGGTATAATCTGATCTGGTTTGGGACTGAAATGAATCCAAGTGTTAGGAATCGTTCCAAACGATAAAACCAGTAGTAGATTCAGTCAAAGAATTCTGAGAAATCCTCAGATCCTTAGGTAATTACATAACAGCAGAAGAAATTTAAGAGAAGAAGTATAGAGGCAAGTTCGAGAGTGCCTATCTCTCCCAAGAGTCCCAGTTCCTATTCCAAAATCTGCCTACCTTCTTATTTCTTCCTCCCTCCTATTTATACTTACTTATGGGCCAGCCCAAAACTAACTAGTGCCTGGCCCAGGACCCTTTAATACACTCACAATTATTTAATATACTTCTATTATTATTAGTATTATTACATTAATGGGTTCCTATCATATCTCCCCCCTTAGACAACCACCTTGTCTAAGGGGGTGATAGGAAACAGCCTTAACTCTCGACTTCATCTTCATTCTGGCACCTCTTCCTTCCCAATACATCATTGCATTCTGGATCTTTAGCTTCAACACTTGAATTTTCTTCCATATGTACTTCACAGCAGGGAGAAACAGAAACAAGGACATGGCTGCATAAGGCTCCTTATTGTTGTAAAGGTTATAACATTCCAACATCAGCATCTTTCCTTGTAACCTTGGCTTTTCTTCCAACATCTTTTCCAGGAACTTGATTATTTCAGATTCTGCATGATTTTATAAATTGTCAACAGCACCAATCTCTTTTATTTCATCAACCTTCTCTTCGACACTGCTACCAAGAGCAAAATCATCAGTCCAAAGCCAAATGAGATGACAGAGATGTTCCATTCATCAATTGGCCTTGTGGAAGGGTGTCCATAGGAACTGGGCCCACACCTTTCCTAGTCATCAATTGGTCCACTGTGAACGCATCCTCAGCGGATGGTTGACTCCAGCTAATAGGCTCCAGACCAAGCGATGGAACTGATGGATTGTGATAAGCAAATTCTTCACAACTAGCAGCCAGAATAGTGTGTCCAGCATGAGGTTCAGTACGAGAGTTCATAGAAGTGAATTGTGAGAAAATTTCCCCGCCAACCAGTTCTGGTTGAACCCTTCGAATCACAGCTACCAGGAAAGACTCTAAGTTACGTTCATCTGTAACAACAGTGTATGAGCTGAGGATCCCCTCCAACTTCTTGGTAGGCTTTAATATTTCAATTCCCGGCATATGTCCAAGAGGACAATTCACTTTTGCACCCATATCAAAATTCTCCCTGGTACAGAGACTGTCAACAGTAATCGCCCTTTCTTTTTCTTCCCTCGCAAACTTGTCATCTGAATTATTGATAACTAGTCCTTCTAAGGCACTAGTCTGTGAATTATCCTTCGTCACTTGCTTTGCCAAAACGGGAGGCTCCACTTGGACTGGTTCTAATTTACTTGAACACCTTCCATTGTCTTCCTTCACAGGCATGTTCACATCCTTCTGAATAGTTGATGGAGATTCCGTAGATTCAATACTCTCCTCGTCATGCTCCAGTTCCGGGACTGGTTGTGCAACATACAAGCCCTTTTCAGATTCTACAGGGTCGATGGTTCTGGATGCGGAGGACACTTGCGCTCTGGGAGAAGCCAATGGCGACCAACCCTGTGTACTGAGAATAGTCATTCACGAATGCGAACTGGGAAAAGTGGTTCGCATCTGCGAACTTGGAGAAATAAAGGACGATGTTGACTGCGAAGATTTCTGCGAACTGGAAGGATAAGATAGTGTTGAACTCTGCGATTTCGAAGTGAGAGAGTGAGTTCGCGATTGTGAGCTGGTAATTAGGGTTCACGATTGCGAACTGATATTTTTCTCTTGCGATACAGTTTGCGAACGGGGAGAAGAGATTTGCGATGAAGATGATTGAGGATTAACATTTCGTGACGAAGCTTTAGAGCTTGAAGCCGATACTGAAGCCTGCGAACTGTGAGATGTTGGCGACGACTTCTGAGATGTTGTTGAAGGTCGCGTATGTTGACGATGTTAGGATCGCGATTTTCCTTTGGATCGAAACTGTTCGCTCATCGTGGTTATGTTTGCCGCCATGTTTGCCGTCATATTTGCCAGCATGTTTGCCGTTTTCTCCATTGATGCTTTCATCTCCTCCATAATTCGTTCTATATTGTCAAAGCTCGTTTCCATTCGAGGCGTCATATATACTTCCTCCATCGTTCCGGACTGTTGTTGCTCTGAGATGATAGATGATTCTGATTCCCTGCCTCCAGGAAGCGAATTCTCTGATACCAATGTTAGGAATGGTTCCAAACAATAAAACCAGTAGTAGATTCAGTCAAAGAATTCTGAGAAATCCTCAGATCCTTAGATAATTACACAGCAGCAGAAGAAATTTAAGAGAAGAAGTATAGAGGCAAGTTCGAGAGTGCCTATCTCTCCCAAGAGTCCCAGTTCCTATTCCAAAATCTGCCTACCTTCTTATTTCTCCCTCCCTTCTATTTATACTTACTTATGGGCCAGCCCAAAACTAACTAGTGCCTGGCCCAGGACCCTTTATTACACTCACAATTATTTAATATACTTCTATTATTATTATTATTATACTAATGGGTTCCTATCACCAAGTAAAAGCCACACTATCAAAAAGTTTTCTAAGGTTTGAAGAAAAGAAATCTCTACCGTACACAATATGCCTAAGCTTTAGTTAGTCACACCAACCTGGTTAAGAAACAATAAAAGACGAATAGAAAGGGGATCTTTAAAAGGATAAAGGTGATCTCCAAATGGCAAAGCAAAATGATTGATTTAAAAATGGAAACGAGAAGTAAATAAGTTATTAATATCAAAATAGCTAGGTGAAATAACTAAACAAATCTTTACCGTTGCTTCTGGGTTATGAATTAAAGAAGACATCGCATCAACAAGCTCTCCAAGATTATGCGGAGGGATATTTGTGGCCATGCCAACCTGAAAGCATAAAGGAACAAATACAATCCATGACACACATCACAAGGGGGGAAAATGTGTTTACATAGAAATAAGTACTAGACAAAAGCTATTGAGTACACTGAACAAATTACCGCAATGCCAGAGGAACCATTCAGAAGCAGATTCGGAATTCTAGCAGGAAGTAATGATGGTTCTTTTTGTGAGTTGTCAAAATTTGGGACAAAATCAACCTGATTATCATTAAATGAAAAGTGAATAAACTGAAGAAATCCATGATTAACAACACGTAAGTATGTAACACAGCATACATACAGTATTTTGCTCTATGTCTGAAAGCAGCATCGCTTCTGTAAGTGCCTGGAAATGGGACCATTTATTAACATTATCAGCAATGAAAGAAACAATGGTTACCCTTAATATTTCTAAACATAGCCACTTTCTCCAAGTATGACCACAGCATTTTTATTCAAAAAACATAGTTGTTTTTATCATAAAAAGATCATAAAATAAAAGGTGTAGTAAATAAAGATTATTATGGTTGTCATGTGAAGGGTAACACTCTATGTTTTAGTCCTATCTAGGTAGGTTATTCATGAAGAAAATGTAAGCATCGCCCCATATTAAAATTTGCTAACAAGAAAGGAAACCCATATGAAATGAAGGAGGCATTTGGTTTAACATGGCTATCAGAATCGGAACTAAACATTGATAAATGATTAGGGCTATGGCAAAGAAGCCTTCCCGGTTGGGAAGCCGACCCCAAAATCTTTTGGAACTAAGGCTTGGAATGTTGTTATTGTACCTGAATGTTATTAAATTTAAGTACATAATGGAATTAGGGAGTAATCAAAGTTAGGCCTCCTCAAGATCAAAAATACAAGGTACGAATGTAAGGAATGTCTAAAGTATCTAAAGTAAAACCACCATTAATATCATAGGGTAAACCGGAAAAATTGTGAACTACAGTTTCAGGGAGGGAGTGCCGTCCTGCAATTAGGTGAGCTACCAAGTTGGTTCATGATAGCAGTGACAGAAGGAAATGTTTCCTTGTTTTTTGGCCAGGTTTAAAATGGTTTCTTTTTTGTAGAGAAGTCGACCAGAGCCAACGGCTTTACTGAGTAGATAACCCTGGTAAGGGTGCCTCTGATTGCTTCGAGTTCAGCCTCCAAAACCGAATGAGCGAAGAAACGGAACCTACATGGTAGGGTCATTTTACCAGAGCATCGATATTAGTTTTAGAAATATTAGGGCATCTATTTGTTTCAGCTCTCACTCTCCCTTCAAGTTGAAGCCTGTATCCTACAGACTAGCAGACATGTTTGCTCTTTCTACTCTTTAATTCAAAATAACCATGCTCTTATTATCACCACTCTGGTTCGCCTACACGCGCATTGAGGTTGTGGTGCATATCTGCTCACTTTAGCAAGGGTGGATGGTTGGTGATGTGATGTGGTTGTGCAAGTGCGCAACTGTGACAGTGGCCAAGGTGATTAGGCTGGGAGAGGCCTTGAGTGTCAAAGTGATTTTATTGATAAGCAAACGGACTAAGGCTGATATAGAGTGACATTTTGAAGTGTCGTGACTGGTGGCTATGGGGGTGTTTGGATCTATTTCTTAAAATTGCTTCTGCTCCTCCAGGGAGTAGAAGCAAATATTGGATTGTTTGGATGAAAGTGTAGAAGTACTTTTAAGTGCTCCAAATTACTCCTAGAAGCAGTTTTGAGAAGCTGGAAGAGACCAAAGTAGAATCAATTCCAAACACCTCATGTCCTCATATACATTATGTCATTCATTTTTTCTAATTGTTTCTTCTTCTTCTCTACATCCATTCCACACTTCACAATCAAAACCCCACAACTAACGACATAAGGTTGGTAGTTAATAATACAAAAAGCATTTCCAAATGCTTATTGGTTTTAATGGTAGTACCAAAATCATTCAAGCAATTCAGTTCACCATACCATACCTTAAAACCTTGAACGAAATGCCCCCCCCCCCAGATAGAATTACACAAAGTATTTAATGAGCATTCAAAACTATGCTACTCGATACAATTATATCTTAAAGTCTATAACTAAATGTCAGATAAATAGGTAAAATAAATAAGTATAAAAATAAATAAATAAATAAATAATTTCTAAATAGGGGAAATAATTTAAATATCCCAAACTTTGAAAGGGTGTGACACAAGTACCTCAAACTTGCACATGTAATATATATACCCCAAACTAAAAAGTTATTTTTTACAAATATAATTTTAAGCTGTTAAGTACATAATTTAAAATACACAAAACCTTTATGAGGATGCAATTAAAACCAATTAAACCGGATTTAATATTATTCCAACAAAGCTTAGAGTATTTTAAATTATGTATTTATTCCAATAAATTTGTATTTGTAAAAAAACATACAATCATGGTGTTAAAATAACTTTTTAAATAAAGTTCGAGGCATATATATTACATATGTAAGGTTGGAGTACTTATCTCACACACCATTAAAATTTGGGGTATTTAAATTATTTTCCACTATCTAAATTAGTTAATTAAAAATGTATTACTGATATAGGAATTGTAAAAGCAAGTTAACTACAAAATGAAATTTTAAAGTTCAAAATCGTATGCTACAGAAAAACAAAAGAAAAAGTAAATTTCACATTATTTTATAGGTACTGAATAGACTCAAGATTTCAACATAACACTATTTACTCCCAAATTTGAAAAAAAAAGTCTACAAATACAAAAACATAGACATTCTTGACTACCCATCTCAATTGTAAAGTGCACAAAACAACTCATATAAAGAATAAAAGTATTAATCTTGACCTACTTCCAGTCTGCATTCGGTGTATCGCATTGCTGCAGGAGGATCTGCATCAATTGACCCAAAGTTCCCATGCCCTTGAATAAGTGGAAAGCGCAATGAAAAATCCTGAATGCAAATGCGAAAAATGTGAAGATTAATATCGGTGTCATAGTTTTCATGTGGACTAGGCGACACTTAGGCATCTAGGCAATGGTGAACACTCACCATGGCTGGTCACCTTGCCTGAAGAACATCAAACATTAACAGGCATCTAGCCAACTACTAGGCATTGACAGGGATACCCACTGGATTTTCACCTAATCTATTTCAAACCGACAACCCGCTAATTTGCATTTTCTTTCTTTCCTCCATTCTCTTCATTTTTTGTTGCTTCATTTATCGTTGTAGTTAACTTTGTTCTTTATGACTTCTTTACTTTCTTTAGGTATCAATCACATGAGTAACATCATTGCTTTTTGCTAAGGTTTTGTATTTTACTTGGAAATAGATTTTAGACAGAAGATATTATGATGAATTAGAAATTCATGCGCAATAATTTCTATTATTTTTATCATATACTTCCTCCGTCCCATTGGACTTTGCCAACTTTCCTTTTTTATTTGTCCCAAAAGTTTTACCACTTTCCTTTTAGAGTAAGGAATTTGTGGTTCTCCTTATTTCTCTCGCCTCTGCACAAACCTCAATCACACAGTTTTTACTTTTCTTATTCCACACTCATATCAAAGTAGGCAATGTCCAACAGGACGAAGGGAGTATTATATTCCAAAATTGCCCACAGCTACTTATTACTTAAGCATCGCTTAAGTGGCCACCTAGTAATTTAGGTCACAAGGCAGTCTACTGGCACCGTGTCGCTATAGGCATTGTGACAACCTTGACTGGTGTGTGCAAAATATCCAATTGAATAGGTACAGTGGGAGTGATAATCAACAGAACAATAATACTATAGTAAATAATAATATTAAAATTAGTAATAAGGAATGGTAACAACCGTTTAACACGAAAAGCTAACCCTTGTAATGAAGAAATCTGTGTATTGAGAGGTAGTATATATCGCACAGGATATTAAAATTAAATTGAAGATGAGCATTATCTAGAATCATTCCCATTCAAGGAAGATTGTAATACGAAAATATGTCTATATTTTCTTCTCTGCTAGCCTGTTGCATAGTAATTAGGATCGCATTCAACTATATTATCTCTTCATAGTTCATGTTATTACTCTTCTATAATCACAAAGTTACCAAATGGTAACGGGAGAAGATGATAACAGGATGCCATCGTTCAAAATATTGACACTTCTCTATGAAAGATATATTTCACCTGTGCCATGCGCACCAAGGAATCATATACAGCAGTATCTCCATGTGGATGGAACTTGCCAAGAACCTGTAGATAAAAGCAGAAAATAGAGGAAACCCAGCAGTGAATCTTTTATATATTAAAGAAATGCTTTACTGAAGAATAAAGAACTAAAGGAGTGTAGCATGCACACACAAAAAATATAGTGGTAAAATGCTGTGGATACAACGAAATAATTTACCTATGAACCTACCTCACCAACAACTCTTGCACATTTCTTGTGTGGTTTCTTTGAAGAAAGGCCAAGCTCATGCATTGCAAACCTACACCCAATAATTATATCAAATAAAGATGCATCAATAACTTTAACTAGCATATATATTACATTAGAAGTAGAAAGCAAAATTAGCTTGGTGCTAAACGGACCAAACTATAAAAGTTTCTTTTGCAAGTACATAAACAGCCGATGGAAAAAAATTAAAACAACAAATATTTCACAGGCTGCTCAAAAATAATATTACTGAGAATTGGTCAAAGTTTCAAACCAAATTGAAGTCAAGGATTGTAAATGAAAATGGAAACAGTTAATATGTGATCAAGGAAGCACGTTTTGATATTATATTATGTAAAGGAAGACTCACAATACTCGACGGTGCACCGGTTTCAACCCATCACGAACATCAGGCAGCGCTCGGCCAAGTAGGACAGACATGGCATAAGCCATGTACGCATCAGTGGCCTCTCTGTGGAGCTCCGTGATGACAACTCTACCCTCACCTCCCTCACTCCCACTGCTACTGCCATCCTTTACAATGACGTTCCCATTTCCCGAGTCTCCGCCCTCCGCCTGCTCAATTTCCTTCCGGCTAGAGCTCACTACTCTCCTCCGAGGAACCGCTGCCGAAAGGAAGCGGAGCTCTGACGCTCCACTTCTGAGAGCCGGAAACGAATGTGCAAGTGCCGGAAGGTTGAACTTGGGGTGATTTCTGCGGAGTAGCCGCATTCCAGTGGCAAAAGCCATTGGTTTTGATAGTTGGAGTACAGCTTTAGGGTGAAGAGTGTGAAGTTTCATGCCATAGAAACTGTATGTTGGAGAGCGAGCAAGGTTATCTGAGTCTGTCTGATGGAGGGAGAAAATTGAGACGGAAAAAACGGAAATTCCAACTAGGGCTGGCCAAAATGGTTTGGTCCGGACCTAACCGAGGTGCTTTGGTTTGATTTGGTTTTACTCAAGTAAACGGTTCGGTAACTATTTTCTCAAACTGAATGGTTTGATTTGGTTTAGTTTAAAACCGAAAAAGCGTAAACCGAACCGAACACCGAATAACTCAATATGTGTGTCTATATATAGAAAAGTTCATGTCCGGAATTCCGGACAGGAACCGCCGTCCGGAAGGCGGCGTTTGGCAGCCTTCACGATGGAATTTTTTGTTGGAATTTTTATAGCATGTTCTTCATCAAGTCTAGTTTATCCACACAAAAATTCAGCTAAAATCTCAGTCGTGAAGATTGTCAAATAATTTTTGGAAGTTAACTGCGTTTTATATGTGTATATACTCTCAATACACACACACGCTGTGTGTGTGTGTATATATATATATATATATATATATATATATATATATATATATATATATATATATATATATATATATATACTTTGTATGTTTCTTCATTCTTTATCTTTACGATAAAAATAAATAATTTAGACATGAAAATACAAATTTAGGATATATCATTTTAACTTTTACACATTTCATACATCCATTATGACAAAATCAGCTAATATGGCATATTTGTATTTGTTATGTTTTGTACTCTACTTGTATGTAAAGATATTCGGTGATAGCAATAACAAATTGCATTTATATTTTTTACATGATTCATTTGAATAAAATTGTGAATATTACAACATCAATACCACTCACTCGTTTAGTTTTTTGAATATTTTATGTGATATTATAATTACTAATCAGCTATAAATTTATTTTTGTGAGAAGTGAACCTTTTTTCTAGTGATCGAAAAGATGTTAGAAGTTTTAATTTATAATATTTATTTATTATTTTTCTATCTTTTATTTCCTTTTACATTTTATTTAAGTAATAAATAAAAGAAGAGAGATGAACTACTACTTTCATGTTCTAATCCTAAAATATAGAATTTGATCAAATAAAATACTTCCTCTGTCCCATTAGGAGGTTCCAATTACGATTTACGATGCTTGACTGACGATAAAGCAACTTAATCTATGCTCACACTCTGATTATTCTTAGTAAATAAAATTTACACATTCCGAAACTACATCAAAACCGCTACAAAGCATGATAAAAAATGTAAATTTGACAAACAATCAATATATATATATATATATATATATATATATATATATATATATTAGAGGAACTTTTTAAGAGCATACAAAGCGTCACATAATCCTGCCATGTCATTATATATAACAATTATTTACTTATTTTTATACCTTTTGTTTTTATTAGATTCTATTTTTGATTGCATATTGATATGAAAACAAAAAACCTTATAAATCCACCTTAATTAATTTGGTAAGCTTCAAATAAGTAAAATAATTTTTGGTTATCAAAGTGAAATTCTAATAACCTTTATTGATATGGAAACTATTTTATATTAGTTTACTACACCGAATTAAATAGAAACAAATATGCAAATTAGTTTACTTATTAATTTGACACTTATTAATAAATTAGTAAGCTTCAATAAGTAAATAACTAAAAATGAAATTAAAAATTATAACCAACATAAAATATATATATTTTCACAGGTAAGTATGTTTAGCTTAGCCAAATAAGTAAATTTTTTGGCTGTTTCTTTATTTTACACCTAAAATTCAAATATGTCTTTACTTTTGAAATAGATTCCTAATCCAAATTAGAAAATCTTTATAGGTTTACGAATTCCTATTTTTATTTTAATATAATGTTTTTAATTTTATTGATTTCAGTTCTAGATTAAATCAGATCAGATCAAACTTTAATAATTATAACAATAAGTCACATAAAAAACAGACATCCAATAGACCATATTAATTCATACCAAATCAAACCCGGAATTTTAATTCAATTAAAAACGTTCTTATTAATGAGTAAACTTTAAGATCTAACAATTAGGAAATATAGATTTTTTTATTATTGCGTTCATAACAATTATGTTTACTTGAGATGCTTATGTAAAAGACCAATTTAACTTTTTTTCATATATTTTTTTCTTTGTTTCACAAATGGAATAGATTTCACATATATTTTTCATGATTCAGAAGATTACACCTATTTAACTAGAATTCAATCAATTTCATCAAAATAAGTTAATTCTATTTACTTTAGTATTATCAAACAGACTCTATATTAGACTAAGTTTATTTTTCTTTTAAATCACATTATATGTGATCTGATAGAAATTAAATTTCAAATTAGCTAAATTACATACTGCCCGTTCATCGCACGGGCTTGAACGCTAGTTGATATATAAAGCAAAAGATTAAGAATGAATTAAGTTGACCATGTGAATAGTGGACGGGAACCTTTGAATGGGACGGAGAGAGTAATAAGCATAAGAATCCAAATCAAATCGAACTAAGTTGTACCTAATAATTTTTTCGATGACCGATCTTCAAACCGAACCAAACCGGAACCGAACCGAAACCAAACCGAAATTCAAATGGTTTTAGTTTGGTACAAATTCTCTCAAACCGAATAAACCGAAACCGAATTGAAACCAAAGAAAATCGAACCGTAAACCGAATTGCCCGCCCCTATTGCAAATGGTGCATATTTGTTAGAGTGATTACAAATAAAAGTGTGGAAATGAGTTTTTTTCAGAGCACTCTCTACACAAATATTCATTCAATGTAGTCAAATATGAGATAGGGAAAACTGTCAAATAGGTTCTCGAACTTTCATAAAAAGGTCAATTAAGTCCTTCAATAGGAGGTTCTGTCCGGCCGTCGCGATTTGGGGCAGTTCCCGGTGAAATTTTTCAATGAATTTTTTTGAGCATCATATTCACCAAGTCTATTTTACTCATACCAAATTTCGAGCTAAAAATTCAATCAGGAACTCATTCAAATTAATTCTTGAAGATAACTGCACATTTTTGCGTTCTCGGATTAATTTGAATGCGCCCCCGATTAAATTTTTAGCTGAAATTTGGTATGAATAAACTAGACTTGATAAATAAGATGTTAAAAAAAATCATCAAAAAATTCCACCGGGAACCGCCCCAAATCGTGATGACCGGACAGAGTCTCTTATAGAAGGACTTAATTGGCTTTTTTATGAAAGTTCGAGGAGCTATGTGACAGTTTTCACTATGAGATATGTTATGGGTGAATATAGGTGGACCCGATTCAAAGTTCAAGACTGGTCCTAATCAGAATCAGCAGATTCTCGAGTACCGATGTCGGTCCTGGGTGAGGGTTTTGGGGATCGAGATTGGTCACTTAGTCCCACTTGATCTTTGTTTCTAATTATTTTCATTTCTCCTTTGGATAATAAATTATTAACTATTGAGGTGCATCGGAGCATCCTTTAATGACTCTTGGAACCGTGGGGGGGTGGTGGCTTGTGGGGTTAAAAATCTATAAATACCTTTCATTTTTCTTATACATTTTAAAATCTTGCAATATCTCATCTTCATCATCTATATGCTCTCTATATCAATTTCATCTTCAACTTACTTAATATATTCATATCATACATGTATTCATATTATTCACATACACACACACATGATATATACTTATAATAAATTATTACTAGCACCTTAACTCGGTCCGTTAGTCAACTCGGCGAAATGGTCAAATTGGCGAGTTACTCGCTATTACTCGGTATATACAAAAAAAGCATGTGCTTACAAAACCTAAACATGTAATCGCTATTGGTCGTCGTTTGGAGCATTGACTACGACTGCTACATCGTTTGGAGCTGCGACTGCTACTGCCAGGAGCTCCGGCCACTACTATTACGAGCTATGACTGCTACAGTACTGCTGGGAGGAGATGCGACTCCTGCGTGCGCTACAGTGCTACTGCGAGGAGCTACGCTTGTGACATCAACGGATAAGATCTTTCCCTTGTTTCTTCAATTCTTCCATCTTGTTAAAAAAATTAAATCAATCAGCCGTAATTTCTTACATCAACGGATTATTAATTCCCTCTCGTTTATCCAAACTGCTGCAGCCGTAATTTTTTACCATTGAATTCCAAGTTGCTAAGTTTCTTAGTTATTAATTTTATCCAAATTGCTAAATTATTCCCTCTCATTTATCCAAACTGCTGCAGCCGCAATTTTTGATCATTGAATTCCAAGTTGCTAAGTTTCTTAGTTATTAAATTCCTGAGGCATTAAGTTCTCTTTATACTACATGTTAAACTTTCATTTTTTATATTAATTTTTTCTTGGCAGTGTGTATGTTTGGAGCTGTAGTCAGAATTGATATCAATTCTTTCATACATTCCCCTACCCGGTCTCGTTTCTTATAATTAGGATAATAGGATTTTGCTACTCCATCATTAGGATAATAGGATTTCTATCCTTTTATTCACTTCTATGCATTTTAAGACAATTTAAAGTCTATTTTAAGACTACTATATTTCTATTATCTCAGGCACCGATATTAATATATTTATTTAATATAAGACCGAGTAATCACCGAGTAATCCCGAATAATCGGTCCTACTTGCTACTCGACCCTTGACCGATTTGCTACCGAGTAGCGAGTGAGTAAACTATCTAGATCATGGGTGCTAAAAAAGCAGTCAAATCACATCCATACTCGGATGTGATACCATGTTAACACTCGAGATTCCATCATAAAAATTTAACCCGATAGAAGGAATAATCCAAAACTTTATATAGTGTTTTATAGTTTTATAATTTTTGAATGTGGAATAAATATTTTATGAATTGAAAGCAGAGGAAGAATTGAAAGAACAACCAGCCTTGATACACGTTGACGACCAATAAGCGTTCAATATTTATGTTTCATTTTACAAAGTCAAAGAAGCCCGATGATGGCATATGGTATGCAAATGTAACTATTGTTGCCAACAAATAAACACACTCGATCACAAATATCAAAATTTGCCAACTCTCCATCTTTCGAGAATTTACTTTATAAAAATATGTATTTCGTTTAAAAAACACACGT